CAATTGTCATTTTTTGTTCATTCAGTAGCAACTATGTAGTGCAATTACCAAGAAATAGTTAGCTTTTCTATCCCTTCCAGGCCTTGCCTCCCTCTAAAACATACTTCCAGATAATTCCAAAGAAGAAACAAAATGGAAATTCTCAACTCTTTAGAATAGAACTATAATTAAAGAATGGCATATAGAATTGCAAAACCTATAGGTTAAAGCTAAAGCAATATTAAAAGGGATATTTATAACCTTAAATTCATTATTCACAAACAGAAAAGGTAGAGAAACATTGTGTGTTCATCTCCTGTTCTAGGGTAAAACAGTAATAACAAATGGAACCTCAAGCTTATGGAAAGAATTAGTGAAAATAACAAAAACGAAGCCCTTTTTGAATAATAAAGCAAGAGCTTATTATTTTGTGAGATTAAAGGTAGATAGATCAATTGAACAGTTCTTCCCTACAGGTGAAAGTCTTCAGTTAAACTGTTTGTCCATATGTGTCCTGATAGTCCTACAGATCATTTCCTCAATTGTGATCAACCCTTGTGGGTCTAATTTAAATTTTACTTATTTTTTTTTTAGTGGTTTTATTTTTGAGAAAATTTCCATTTCATCTCTCCCAATGGATAGTTTATTTCAAGATGTACTGCAGCCTGTTATTGTCAACACTTCAAAAATCCATTCAAAAAGCCATTGATTTCCATTAATAAGTGAGGAAATCAGAATTTGAACCTCAGTGTGTGAAACTCCAGAATTTGAATGTCATACCACTTTCCATTGACCAGGAACTTATGATTCTCTTCCAGGTACCCAAGCTTCCACCTTAAAGATACAGCCCCAATAATTTGGAGGAATGGGATGAGGAGAGGTGTAGGTCTGGCATTTACCAAGGTTTCCTAGCTTCCTTCTAGGAAGCTTTTGCTATTGGTGGCTCCTAAATGTTCCTTATGTCACCAACTCTTTTAGTGGATGGTACAATGCCAATGCAACGACAGCTATTTGTAGAAATAGGTTCCTAGTCATCATGGGTCTCCTTCTGAAAGGGAATTTTTTTCCAAAATTTCAAATTTCCCTTAACATGTGGCTTCATCTTCTATTCTTATGGTCTATGGAAGTCACAGAGAAAGCGACTCTGGCTGTTACTGTAATTTCAGCCCATCCTGTAGTCGATATCTATAATTTCTGTTGTGAAGCATGCAAGCATTTCTTTGAACTGAATCTGTTATAGCTTGGTGGTCCAGGTCATTACTTGCAAATTGATGAGTCCTGTTTTAGCCACAAAATCAAGTATCATTATGGTCATGTTCTGGATAAGGAAATCTGGGCTTTTAGTATTGTAGGTACTAACCATTATACAGTTATTGGTTATTTAGAAATTGTTGGTGACCATTCTGCCCAAACATTGCTTCCTATTTTGCAACATGTAATTCAGCCTAATTCTACCATTCACTTTGATGGACTGTGTATAATAATTTTGAGTACATCCAGTCCTATGGGAACAAATGTAAAGCAAAGTGTGAGACCATGAGACCATTGAGATATGTTAGACTCATATTTGACTGAATTTATGTGGCATTTTCAATTTGAACATAATGCTTTCATTTCTCTTTTATTGTACATATCAGAACAATTTTCTGTTAACTAATGTGATATTTTGAGTTTCATGTTTTAGTACTGTTTGTAACAGGGACAAATTCTTCAATTGAATACATCTAAGACAAATTGTTCAGTTGGTTCAATAAATCTTTCACCTAGAAACGAGTACAAATAAACTACACAAGGTTTGGAAAAGGAGACAAGTAAAGATCCAGGGGAGATTCTTTAAGAACATTTTTATGTTATAATCTTATACCAATGAAATATATTTTATCTAAAAAGGAAGTAGAAAACTTAAAATTTTGAGTGCCTCTATTAAAATTGTGGTCAGAGATTATTTCTGAAGAAGTCATTGGGCCCAGAAAGCTTTGGCAGAAAATTTTGACAAATCTGTGAGGAACAGACAATTCACATCTCATATCTACTGGTCCAGAGTATTCAGAAAGATGAGGCTTCATTTTATGACGCAAACTTTACTATGAAGTTCTATAGCACAAGAAGAAAACATAGTCCAGTTTTACTCCTGAACATGGATTCCTTTCATGAATGTAAGGCTGGTTCAGTATTAACAATTATATTTGACTGTGCTAACAGCAAAAAGGTGAAAAATAGTATGATTGCCTTAGTAGATGCCAAGTAAGGATTTGTTAAAATTAACCAGCCATTCATGGAAAAAATAATAGGAGGGAAATGCCTTGAACCTTATAAAGGGTAGCTATGGAAACCAGTTAAAAATATTATATTTAATTGCAAATATTTCCATTAAAGTTGAGAATTAGTGCTATTAATAAATGCTGCTGTTTAGAGCATTGATGACAGTCTTGGGTAATATAGTGAGACAAAAAAAATGTAATGATTGGTAAATGAGAACCTAATAGAATTAACTTGCCAAACTGCTGAATGAAGAAGGAAATTTACCAACTGCCTCATATAAGTATAACATACTCTAGTAGCTTTCTTATACATCAATAACCAATTAGAAAATATAATGAGAAAAAGGTTTCTTCACATATGGTAGTTATTTAAAAGTAAGTCAGTACTTAAGAATAAGCCTAAAAAGAAATTTTTAAGATGCTTATGAAGAAAAGGACAGAAAAAGAAAACATGAGTCACCAATGATATACCATGTTCCTAGACAGGAGAACTTGGTTCTTTTCAAATCACTATACAGTACAAATTCAGAATACTTAAAATTTCAACTGGATTTTTTAAGGAAATAGAAAAGCTGCGAACACACCTTAGAGTACAGTATTCCATTGTTTATGACTTAGAAAATGCAATTTTAAGTAGTTTTAATAGACAATAGCTATTTTACTTTTTCTTTCAGTCTCTCTCTATCCTCCCCACCAATGAAGTAAATCTATAGCAGCCTACTACAGAAGATAGTTTTGAATAACAGATAATGTGTGTTGGTTTATTCACTTACTTTTTTGGCTACTAATATTTTGTTATTAGGCCAAACTTGATTCAAGATTAACTTGTTTTAAGCAGTTGTTTCCTAGGAGATTTTGCAGTACATATGCAAAGAAATTGTTGGTTTATCCATTTTAGCTAAACAAGGCCCAATGTGTCAGATTCCAAACAATTTATGTGACTTATATTTAAACAGCTACCATTGTTCCATTACATAAGAAATTATAAGGAAGAAACCAAGAATAAAGGAAATAGAAGTAGTAACCAAAGGCAAAATAGAATATTACTTTTCTGAACTTAAAAAAAGACCTGTTTATACGTTTTTAAAAAGTCTCACAGAATACTTGCCAAAGTAGAGACCCACTCTTAGACACGTTATGGTAGATATTTTTCATCAGAATAAAAATTGTACAGTTTCCTATGTAAAACTAAAAAAAGGCTGCTTTTTGATTTTTTAATAATGTTAAATGTCAGAAGACAGTAAGTTAATGTCCACATTTTGAGTTTCATTTTTTGCTACTGGTTTAGTTTTTTTCTAAGTGATAATTCTTTTAAAAAATATTTGAATACTACATATGTATATGACGTGAAAGTAAAGTCCTTCTGTTTACCTTCTCCTTCACTTCCTTTCAATCTTGGCCTCCAGAGGTAATTGCTTTTAACTTTGGAATGTATCTTTTTCCATATACTTAACATACACAAAATGATTTTTTTTATTTTCACGTTTAATAACAAAATAATGATGATACTATACATACTATGCAATTTATAGATATCTAGATAATCTGACTAAAGAAAATAAGAAAGACATTTAGTCACCACAAAGATAAACCCATATTCAGGAATATGAAATTATGCTGTATGTTCTTGGCCCTTAAATATATGTATAAATATAAGACAAAGAAAAGAACAAAAAAAGAAAAAACAAACAAAAGATATGCATAAATAATTAAGTCCTGAGGAAAACCTTCATCTTTGAGAGTCATATGACTGATTGCCTAGGCCATATTATTGGACTTAAATTAACATACATTATAAGATCTGAGGTCTCCTTTAGAAGTGGCTGATTTCTGAAAGAAACTTTAAAAGTAAGGGATATCTTTTTCTCATTTTTGTGAAATGAATGCCTTTATATTGAATAAAAGAAATTCTGTGGCAGAGCTCTTTGTTAGGCAGGCCTATGAACACACTGAAAAGTTTACTTTAATATTCTTGAAAATATATTTAATTTAAAATGGTAGCTGCAGCAATAACAACTGAAACAATTGAATATCACATCTATACCTTAGTAAAAGACTGAAAGGAAATACAACCAAATATTCATGTGATAATGAATATTTTTCTTTTTCTTTTTATTCTACTTTTTCTTTTTATTCTACTTTTTATTTTCAATTTTCCTTTAAATATATATTTGGGCAAAATATGTAATCAAGCACTTTATATAAGCAGACAAATGATTAATAATTTCAGTGACAAATGTTGATACCAACAGGTTAACATTTTTATCAGATTATTAGAGATTAACAGAATATGGAATTAAGTATTTCAAAAAGTAATATATGAGCATGCCTCTGCACTGCTGTTGTGCCTACATTCATAAGTAGTATTGGCAAGGGAGCTTTTATGATTTACAGATATGCCCACTTTATAATTTCAGTGAGAAAATGAAGTGTGGTTACAACTATTTTAAAAAATAACACAAAACACAAGCTCAGGAATGTACTGATAATATCAGCAGCACCCACAGTTCTAGGAGGAAACCAGCTAACCTAGTTAAGAGTATTTACATCTGGATATTGAGTTCAGGGGCCACTTAAGTTTTCATTAAGATTTTCTATATTTTCCAAGTATATATTTTATAATCAGCTTAACTTAATTTTTTTACTCATATCTTCTGAGGATCCTGTTATCTGTGGGTTTCTTGTTATGTGTGCATGGGTTATTTTTAAACGTTATATTGCCACTTGATTTCATTTTCTTTCTTTTTTTGTTTTTTTCAGGCCAAGATAGCCAGGTTAACCAAACGGTTTGGAGCAGCCAAAGAAGATCTTAAAAAAAGACAAGAAGTAAGAATTTTTATTCTTGCATAATTAATGTTTAGCTCTATGTGGTAATCTTGGGAAATACTGGATTAGAAGGAAAATCTTTTATTACAAGTCTTAAGTTTGCTTTTATACTATGTACTCCTATATGTTATTTCTGGGTCTACAGCTCTAGAACTAATTAATTCTCACTATTCCCATATTGCAACATTTATATTAATTATTTTATGTTATGGTATTCTCAAATCTGTATTTTTTATACGTCTTTAAAATTATGTTTTTGGGATTTGTTTTACCTTGTTTCTTTTATATTTTTGCCAGTTTTCTAGTCTAGTCTCTGATTTTCCTCAAGGTATTTCAGTATTCCACAGCTTGTAGCATTCCTATTCTTAGCCTCTTTTCTTCCTTGTGTAGTCAGTCCTCTGTTATGCTCTAATTGTAATATTTAGGGATTAGATTAAGTCACTTTATTGCCTTAAACACTGCAAATGTTTTTTAGTATATAGCATTAAGTTCAAATATCACAGCATAAATTGTCTTCTTTTAACAAATTTGCTTTGTTTTTTTTTTGTTGTTTGCCTTATTTATTTATTATCTTGTCATTCTTCTATTTTTTTATTATTTATTCATTTTTTAACATAGCACTTGTATGTTGCATTGTAGTTTTAAGTTGGATTTCTTTACTTTTCCTCTTGAATTTTTTTGAGGAAGTTACATTTCTTTGTCTTTTTAGCTCCATTGTCTGGCACATAGTAATTGCCAATAACAATAATAATTTCAATAGTTATTATTCCTAGAGATTTTTCCATATTGATGCATTTTCATATCTTCTTTACTTCTTAAAATAAATTTTAGTTTAAAGTAATTGTAGACTCATGAGAAGTTGCAACAACTATACATAGACATAATCCTATAAACTCTTTACCTAGTTTGTCTTAGTAGTTAAGTCTTATATCAGTGTAGGATAGTATCAAAACCAAAAACTTGATACAACTTTGTTAAGTAGTTTATAGTTCTTATTAGTGGTCACCAGTTTTTATGTGAATTCATTGTATATGTGTGTGCATGCTTGTCTGTGTGTCTAGTTCTATGCAATTTGATCATGTGTATAGATTTATGTAGCCCCCATGCGCCACAGTTAAGATATAGAACTGTTTTGTCACCATAAAGGGACCTTCTCATGTTATCCTTTTATGGTTTTACCCTCACTAATCTGTTCTCCCTCTCCCTCTCTTTTTTACTACTTAAGCCAACTGATAGTTGTTTTTTATCTTTATTCTGTAAAGACTAATCTCATCAAACATTTTTGTTTGGTCAGACTCAAAGATTTTTTTCATTATAGTCTTCTTAAATGATGTAATTAACTGTCTATTTCTAAACTCCATTTCTTAGTTTTGTTTCTTTGTTATAATGTAAAAGCTGAGCTATTTCATTTTTTATATTAGAATATGGGTGTAAACCTTTTATTTAAAAAAATCTAATTTTGCTATGTCTGAATCAAACATTTGTCTTTGAAACTTTTCTATTTGTTTTGTACAGTATGAATTTCCACTTTTTTTTCTTTCATTCCTGTCAGAACTAAGCAGTGTCCAGCCCACTGTGTACTTTTCAGTTTTAGTGCATGTCAAATTTGTTCTCAAAACTACTTTCCAGTTCTTCTTGTCTATTAGGCAAACACTCTAAGGAAGAAAGATGAAAGTATTGTGGTCCCTGAAGAGTTTCCATTTTGGAGAACTAGAAGTAGTATTGAAACAAGGAATAAATACTATATATTATAATTCCTTAAGATTGGAAATGATTAACTTGATGAGTTAGGGTGCGTGGTACTTAAAGAAAAATGTTAAAGTGGTCTTGAATCTTTGAAATTTCGTGCCTTTTTTTATTAGCTTGTGGTTAATGTTATCTTTCTGCCTATTCTTGTTAATATTTTTCTCCTTTCCAGTCAGATTTTTAGAAAGTCCAAGAATTTTTTTCTTTCATTTCTTTATTCCTACAAAGGTGACTTATATGCATGGAATGTACTCCTGCTGATTTTTTAAAGTATACTTGATTACGTATAACCGTTTTAATTGTCAGTTATCACACTGCCTCATGTTTGTTTATGATGATTTAAATTCTTTATTGTCCTTCATTGTCTCTTTAGACAATGTAGTTTTTGACTTAAAGTCTGTTTTGTCTTACATAAATATGGCCACCCTTACTCTCTTCATTACTAGTTGCCTGAAATATCTTTTCCATCCTTTCCCTTTCATTCTCTGTGTGTCTTTAATCTAAAGTGAGTCTATTATGGACAGCATATGGTTGGATTTTTTTGTGTGTGTGTGTACATTAAGCTAATCTGTGTTTTGATTGGGTAGTTTCTTCCATTTGCATTTAAAGTAATTACTAATTAGACGGGACTTACTATTTTCATTTTGCCTTTTTTTATTATTTTGTTCCTCTCTTGATCCCTTTACATTTTGAAGTTATAACTATATAAATATAGATATAGATATATTTATATCTGTTTTAATCTGTTAATAACATAACTTTAATCACATACCAGAGCTCTACTCCTTTACATCTGTCTTACCACAACCTGATGTTATTGATGCCACATCCCACATTTTTATATTGTGTATTCATTAACATATTTTAATAGTTATTTTTAATGCTTTTGTCTTTTAAATTCTATACCAGAATTAAAAGTGATTTATGCACTAATATAACAAGAATTCAGGATTCTGTATTTGTCTCTGTATTAACTTTTACTAGAGAGGTTTACATTTTTGTATAGTTACGTTATTGTGTAGTATGCTTTCATTTACAATTGAATGGCTTCATTTAGCAACTTCTTATAGGACTGGTCTAGTGGTGATGAATTTCTTCATATTTTCTTTCTCTGGTAAAGTCTTAATTTCTCCATTTTTGAGGGACAGTATTGCTGGATATAGTATTCTTGATTGTCAGTTCTTTCATTAAGCACTTTGAATATAGCATTTCACTCCTTTAGGCCTGCAGGGTTTCTGCTGAAAAATCTGCTCATAATGTTATGAGAACTCCCTTGTATATTATAAATCACTTTTCTCTTGCTACTTTTAAGATTATTTAACTGTAACTCTGACAGCTTGATTATAATGTATCTTAGTGTAGGTGTTTTGGGGTTAATGATAGAGTTATTTGAGCTGCTTTAATTTATTTTTTATCTCCTCCTTCCAATTTGGGAGGAGTCAGCAATTATTTCTATAAATGGGCTCCCTGCCCCTTTCTGTCTGTCTGTCTTCCCTCATGCATATATATTGGTTGGCCTATTGTGTCCCATAAGTCCTTTAGGCTCTCTTTGCTTTTCTTCATTTCTTCATTTCTTCATTCTTTTTTCTTTTTGTTCCTCTGGTGGCTTGGTAATTTCAACTGACCTGTCTTCAGAATTGCTGACTTATTCTTCTACTTGATCCAATCTGCTTTTGATCCCCTACAGAGAATTTTTATTTCCATTGTATTCTTTAGCTTCAGAATTTGTATTTGATTCTTTTTTTATAGTTTCCATATCTTTGTTGATATTCTCATTTTATTCATGTCCCATTTTCCTGATTTCTTATTTCACTTCTCTCTTCTCTTCTCTTCTCTTCTCTTCTCTTCTCTTCTCTTCTCTTCTCTTCTCTTCTCTTCTCTTCTCCTCCTTCCTTTCCTTCCTTTCCTTTCCTTCTCCTTCCCCTTTTTCTTTCCCTTTCCCTTCTTTTTTCCTCTTGTTTTGAGACAGGGTCTTGCTATATTGCCTGGGTTAGAGTACAGTGGTGTCATAGCTCACTGCAACCTCAGACTCCTGCCTCAGCCTCCCAAAGTGCTAGGATTACAGGCGTGAGCCACCATGTTCAGCTTTACTTAGTTTTCTATCTGTGTTCTTTTTTTTTTTTTTTTAACCTCATTGGGTATTTTAATGACAGTTATTTTGAATTCTGTGGTGGATAATTTATAGATCTCTGTTTCTTTATGATTTATTTCTAGAGATTTATTTCTCTGATTGGGTAATATTTCCATTTTTCTTTGTATGCCTTTTTATCTTTTGTTGAAATTTGACCATTTGAAAAAAACAGACCCTTTCTCCAAGTCTCTTTATACGGTCTTTCTACATAGAAAGATCTTCACTAATCATCCTGGCTAGAGATTCTGTGGGCCTCTAAAACCTTATTTTAGAGGTGTGTCATCTTTGGACTTTTGCTCGGGCTACAATTTCCCATCTGAAGAGGTTTGACTGATTTTACTCTGGAGCTCCCCCTAGTGTCTGTCTTTGGTATTGCAGCCTCCGATGTTTAAGCAAACAGGGTTTTTTTTTGTTTTGTTTTGTTTTGGCACTCCCTATGCTATCTGCCTGTATTTCTGCAATTTCTCTGGTGCCATAGCAAGCTCGGGGGCTTGCCTTTGTTCTCTGAGGCCCACTAGGTGACCGAAGTGATCAGGGGCATCTGCTCAATGTAATTCTAAGCACTAATCACTTTTGGTTTAATATCTGTCATTCCTACATTTGATTTAATTTTAAGTGGAGTTATGTTATTTATTCCTATCATTTTAAGAAAGAAATGATTCTAGTATTATTGATGATAGAGGCCTAAATAATGGCAATTAATACATACGTCTTAAATTCCATTTCTATATTTCCTGGTTTTGGGGAAAAAGGTGAAATAAGTTGTTACTGAAGCTTAGAATTTTGACATCTTTTTATGAAATTATTTAAGTCCCATAGTGGCAGGTAGTATGTTTTCAAATAAAATCTTACAAATTATTTTGATTGAGAATTTTGATTTGTGACCTTGGACACCATTTAGCTTTGTTTGTTGGATTCTGGTACTAACGTGCTTGTTATGCCTGCTACATATATAGTAGGCATTTACTAGCTATTTGTTGAATGAATGACTCTAATTATTCTCTAGATTTATTAATATATTGTTAATGTTTATTGAGCCCGTATAGCATGTGAGCCATTTTCACATTCTTTATCTTATTTAATCTTTACAAGAACACTTAGATGTAGGAATTATTTTATTTATCTTTCAAATCATAAGCAGTTGCTTTCAGCAGAGTAAATTATTTACTTGAGATACAACTAACCAGTGGCAAAGCCAAGATTCAAATTCTTATCTCAGTTGGTGATGTTTTCTACTATATTATAAAAGTAACAGATCATATATTGACAAAGCATTTAAAGGTCTTTTATATATTTTTAAGATTCCTCATATGTTCAGTTTTATTTTTACTTTGATGTTTTTCCCCCTAGAATCCACCAAACCCACCTCTATCACCAGGAAAGTCTATAAATGATGTCAACAGCAATAATAGTATGCCTTACAGGTGAGAATTATAAGTGGTCTGTTTGTCTAGTTTTTACATAGCAGAACAGAGTTCTGATTTTCTTTATTTTATAGAAGAATCTTGGAATGTAATCATATGTATTTATGTAGAGATAAGTGTTTGATATACGTAAGTATATTTCCTACTTTGTTATATTGTTCATCTATGGATGTTACTTTTACTTCATTATTGTAAGGCTTTCATTGGTCACTACATAAGTTTCAGCCACTTGTCATAAATAGTGTTCTCTCAAATAATGGAGAAATGTTTCTGTTAGGGGTGAGAAAGACTAATGTCTATATATTAGGGCCTAAGTTTGGTCTTCAAGGTAAGTATTGTTATTAGAATAAAAGAAGAAGGCTCTTCACTAATGCTATAGAACCCAGCATTTAGAAGTCTGTGTGCCAGCTATGCCTCAGTGCATTTGCTTGCAATTTAGGGTTGCAAAACCCAAGTCTATCCACCCCTTTTCCATTTGTGCCACTGCTTTTTCTATACATTAATTGGTGTCCCCCAGAGTGGCATACCATTGACTATTTGTGTGTATATATATTTCATAGAAATGCAGGCACAGTGAGACAGATGCTGGAGTCCAAAAGAAATGTAAGCGAGAGTGCACCACCATCCTTTCAAACTCCTATGAATACAGGTAACTTTTTAAAACACTAAAATACATTTTCTTAGGAATTGAAAGCTTTGGTTCTCTTTTCTTACATTCTTTTGTGGTTGAAATGGATTTAAAAACTGGGCACATTGGTCTAAGTACAAAATTTTATTAAAAATTCAGAATCGAGCTGGGTGTAGTGGCACACACCTACAGTGCCAGCTACTCAGGAGGCTGAGTTGGAAGGATTGCTTGATCCTAGGAACTCAAATCCAGCCTGGGCAACATAGTGAGACTCTGTCTCTTAAAAAAAATTCAGGATCACAGATAAGTATGCATGAAAATACAGTATAGATACTCAAATCTCTATCATAGTAGTTCTCAAACTTTCTTGTTTCCAGATCCCTTTACAATCTTAAGAAATTATTAAGAACCCCAAAGAGCTTTTATTTGTGTTATGTCAATTGATATTTACTATCAGTGAAACAAAACAAATTAAATAGAAATTAAAATGAATTTTTAAAATGTTTATTCATTTAAGCATAATAAGCCCATAATATCTAACACAAAAACACTTTTTTAATGAAAAAGAATTGTATCTTCCAAGCTTAAAAATATCAGTGGAAAGAATGTTACTGTCTTATATTTTAAAATCTCTTTAATATTTTGCTTAAGACAGCTAAGATAGCTTAGCTGGATTCTCATCTTTATCTACTTTCAGTCTGTTTTAATATGTTGATTTGGCTGAAGTATATGAAGGAAATCCAGGCTCATATAAATATATAGGTGCAAAGCACCGGTCCTTATAGATAATTATGGATATTATTTGATACTGTTAATTATTAGTTTCTTTAAAGGCTAGTTGCAAAATGGAATCTGAAATCATACTGATGAACCTTTCTGACTCTTCCATTAATATCCATTCATCTACCTTGCACTTGGGTGGATCTTATGCTAATATCATTCATTAATTATTTGAAAAATATTCCAAATCTTTCAAATTATGCAAATCTTCCAAATGTTGATACATTTCATTAATAATTTTTTTCAATCATATTAATTTCACTATCAGTTCTTCTTAGAAAACTCTTTAGGGATTTAGGAAGCTGTCATTTCATGCTCCCAATGACAGATGTAAGTTTTCCCCAAAGTTCTAATGTTTGTTTTTAAAGCTTGAATTTTAGTATTGCCAATAAATACTGTTGGGTTTTTTCTTTGAAGTGACTGCCTTACTTGTTTTATTTTTAAGAAAAAATCTGTAAAATACTTAAATGTGAATAATCAGTATATCTGTAAGTCATTGTTTTAAGTAAAAATAGTCTACCTAGAAAAAGGATGCTAGTTTAGCTTATAATTCAGTCGCACAAGCACTTTTCCTTGAATCAACCAAGCAGAATCTACTACTGCTTTGGTATGTAGCAGTAGTGTTTTTTTAAGTACTGCCTGTTTGTTCATACAGAATATTAAGAAGAACTCTTACTCAAGTTTGAAATATAATAAAATTAATAGTTTTTACTGTTTCATCATGGACATTCTTAAGTGAAACAGACTTTGCCTTTTACTGTAAGCATGAAGAATGCAGTGACAGTTGATCTCTACACTACCTTGATTTTTGTACTAAGGCATCAGAAGTTTTGCGTATCATTGCTTTTGCTCCATCAATACAAATGTGCACTCATTTAAAAAGTCAAATGATGTCATTATTGTTATGAAAATAGTCTTGACATTGCAGACTCCCTGAAAGAGTCTCAGAAAACCCTAAGCATCCCCCTGGACCATATTTAGAGAATTGTTATTTTAGTGTGCCTGTGATTTTGGAAAAACTATACACCAATGAGAAAGACATTTGGTCTTGTATTTCAAAACTGTTCCAATAAGAATAAACACAACTAGTTGAAGCAAAATTACTGTAAAACTCTAGTGACTAGCATTTCGAGTTCTTCTGCTCTTTTGTATATGCTTCCTCGTTTCTTAATTCATCTCTCATCTTCACTCAGTGCTGTCTTCCATAACATAAAATGTTGATAGTGTTAATAGAGGGAAGCTTCCCTCAATAGTTCTTCTCCTAGGGAATTTAGTAAAACTCATTCACAGACACAGGTTTTACATGGCCTCAATGATAAAATACGATGATTAAGTTTGCCTATTATTCATTAATGGTCTTGATTGTTTCTAGATTTACTATTTGAGATTATATATTACTGGTGTTGTAATGCATTTGTAATGTTTTTAGTATAGTTTCAAAAATATCTATACATTTTTACTTAATTAGTTTTCAGTATATTTTTGATTGTTTTTCCAGTTAGCTACTCTGAAGGATTGTAACAAATTTTAGAGACTATTTTGATACCCAGATAGCTGTCTTCCATGGTAATCATAAATCATGTGTGGTTTTCATTATATACCAAGTATACAAAGCAAAATGCTTCTAAGAATTTAAGAATGTCCAGAATTTAAATCTGGAAAAAATTTTATTATAAAGACTTTACTGTACTTAATGCAATGTATTATCTTAGCTGATAAATTGAGATAGCCATTTAAATTGAGACTTCTGTTTTTTTTTCTGTAGTATCTTCAACCAATCTTGTCACTCCTCCAACAGTTGTCAGTAGTCAACCTAAATTGCAGACTCCAGTGACCTCGGGTTCTCTGACAACGACGACAGTTCTTCCAGCACCCAGCACAGCTACAGTAGTTGCTACTGCTCAGGTGCCTAGTGGAAATCCCCAACCTACAATCTCCTTACAACCTTTGCCAGTGATTTTGCACGTACCCGTTGCGGTATCCTCCCAGCCTCAGCTACTGCAAAGCCATCCAGGGACTTTGGTGACAAATCAACCATCTGGCAATGTTGAATTCATTTCTGTGCAAAGCCCACCTGCAGTGAGTGGTCTTACCAAAAATCCAGTATCCTTGCCATCCTTGCCAAATCCCACAAAACCAAACAACGTTCCTTCTGTGCCCAGTCCTAGTATTCAGAGGAACCCTCCTGCCAGTGCTGCACCATTAGGAACAACACTTGCTGTGCAGGCTGTTCCAACAGCACACTCTATTGTACAAGCCACAAGGACTTCTTTACCCACAGTAGGTCCATCAGGACTCTATAGTCCACCAAATAATCGAGGTCCTATACAGATGAAAATTCCAATTTCTGCATTTAGTACTTCATCTCCTGCAGAACAGAACAGTACTGCCACCCCAAGAATTGGTAAGTCACCGCGTAGATTTAATAATAGAAATGCGAGCATGCCTTTAAATGGCTGTACTTTTTTTGGTTAAGTGGCTAGCATTATTTGAAGAACAAAATAGAATTGCCTTGAGATTGTTTTTAGTAATTTTTAGATACCTAAGAGAAATGATGTTACAATGAGGTTAAAATATTTTTTATTTGTCATGTAGCCATTAGAAATGTGCTAACTCCCTAAGTGTGTTTTCTCATATAAAATAGCGATGATATTTCAAAGAGTTGTCAAGAAAGTAAATGAGTGGCAGATCAAAATTAATATTGGGCTGAAGCTGAGTATCACCCTCATAGAATGAACATCTGGGATATAAGAATAAATTGGTTTGAGAGGGGGTTTATTTTGAGTGAGAAGTTAGCATTAGCATTTTATCTTTTAGTAATTTTCCTAATTTTGGTGAGTTTTTAATTTTGTCTTTGTAGCAAGAATCATGAATTACTTCTATGATACATTTGCCAGGAGTATCTGAATAAAACATATTTTAAAGTATCTAATTTACATAATATATGCTTATAAGAGAAAAATATAAAGCACATTATCTTCCTTACCCATTTGGGAAAATCCTTTGTGCATTCGTACTCAACATCTTCCAAATTTGAACAATGTAAAAATAGGTTCTTTCCTGTCTCATTTACTATAAAATGTTTGCTTCCTCTTTTTTTTATCTGTGTTTTCCTATATGACATATGATTATGTTTATATTTTACTTAGAAATATTGCAAAAAAGGGAGGACTTGAATTGTATATATGTATTTAAAATCTGCCACACTTTGTTTTCTTTGTTCCTAGAAAACATAATTTGTGTGTATTCTTGAACTTGATTATTCATTTCTGACTTCACATATCTCCACTACTTTTGGAAAGACAGGCAAAGAATGGGTAGATAGCATGTGTATATGAAATTGCTATAGGATCTTGCCTATTGATGTAGTAAATGACCAGGGAGTATATGAAACAGATTCAAAAGTACAAAGTTACTTTTGTAAGTGAGATACACAAGCCTTACTTTTTATTTGTCATGTAGTCATTAGAAATGTGCTAACTCCCTAAGTGTGTTTTCTCATATAAAATAATGATGGTATTTCAAAGAGTTGTCAAGAAAGTAAATGAGTGGCAGATCAAAATTACTACTGGCTGAAGCTGAATATCACCCTCATAGAATGAACATCTGGGATATAAGAATAAACTGATTTTATATGAAAATGCAATTATTAATAATATTTATAATTTAAATGTTTATGTAGTACAAGGACAATGTTTCTTAGTATTATCTGCTACCACATTATTCTTTGGACACTTTCATGTTGCAACACTAAGACATGCTTACTTTTACTTGAGGTCAGTGGATAAGCAAGATTTTTCGGTGACACTTTATTTTTCTGTAGTTTCCTTTTCTTGAAGTCTTAGTATTTTTTAATATGTCAGATGATTTATTGATGGACATTGTTTTATATAATTTTGGAGTTTTTCCTCTTTGGAAGTTTTGAGGCAAAGTTGATACTATTTTTAATTCATGGTCACAAGATGAATTCTATTCCTAACTATAGAAGTTGGAAAACCATGGCTTGAGTAACTTAAAAGACTGTTTTGTTTAATGTTATGAATACTCATACTCTGAACACGTGTACAAATCTTAGAATTATAATTTCATTATTCTGTTCTCTTAAAATTTATGAGCATTTGATAGAACAAAAAGGGTATCATTCTCAAAATTGTGTAGTTGATGCATTCTATTAGTAATATGCATACTATTAGTAATAGTAATATAGTACCTATTACTATTAAACAGTGTGCTTAATATGACTGTTCTTAACTTTTTTATATATAAAATTAATAGTTTTCACAATCATTAATTAGTATAGCATTCTATTAATACTTTTGTGATAATATACTTTTATACTAAAATATGAAATTTTATATTTTAACATGAATATTTAACATATTTTAATGTTTAAATTATGTTAAGGAGATCTTCATTTCAAGTTCCATTTAGAATGCTTACCTACATTTGAAAATGAATAAGTGTGAATTGCAATCTTTATATGTTGTTTTCATGTTAATTAAAATATCATGTAAAAACATATGTTTTTTGATTATATTCAAAAGCTGTAATTTCAAGGGTGCCATACATGAATGATGTTAAAATAGGCATTTGGCTGTTTAGCTTCCCAAAACCTAGCTGAAGCCAGTTAACAAATTTTGGGTAAATATGAAAGTTGAAGCCAACTGTAATACATCCCTGATATGATAAAGTAGTAATTAGGTTATATAATTAAAAGTTTCTAAGTCCTATACTTATGCAGGTATAATTTACTTTTATTTTTATATTTTTACTTTACTTTTAATAAGAACATATGCTCTATAACTAGACTGCATTCATTTTATTAAGTATAAAATGTCTGATTTCTTTATGTACTAAGGTTGACAGTTGGTATCTCTGACATCTTCTTGTTTTATTTTTATTGTGAAGGTACATCTTCATTCTTGCAAATGCCTGGTTTGGCTTGTGATTATCTTTCAAAATTCTAGAGCAATTTTTGTGAAACCATAGATAAGTCAAAAATTTGTGTCATTTTCAAATATGAGTTCCATCATGGAACCAATGCTGTGCAGTCAGCTCGAAATATCAACGGTTTAGGAAAGATATGGCTGATGAACGCACAGGACATCTATGGTTTGAGAAGTTCCATTCTGGTGATTTTGATCTTGCAAATGAGCCACGTGGGCGACCTGTGACCAGGGTCGCAGAATGATGCGACCATAATGATGTGATCCATAATGATGAGCTGAAAGCTGTAGTGGAAGCAAATCCATCCCAAACCTATGCGTGAATTAGCAGCAAGGTTCTATATTACTATTCCAGCAGTATTGGACCATTTGAAACAAATTGGCAGGGTAAAGAAGCTGGGGATCACATGACTTAAATGAGCATCAGAAGAGAAATCGTCTTGAAGCCTTCCTTTCTTTGCTGTCATGACACAAAGGCAAACCATGTCTACACCATATTGTCCCGTGTGATGAAATATGGATTCTTTTTGATAATAGCAAGCATTGGGCACAAGGGTTGGACAAAGATGAAGTGCTGAAACATAGTGTGAAACCGAATATTCATCAACAAAAAAGCTAATGGTTTCTGTTTGGTGGTTTAGCTCTGCCATTATCCCACTGCCGTTTCATGAAACCTGGTCAATCAATTACAGCAGTATCTACTGCAATCAGTTGGATGAAATGATGAGGATGCTTACAATTAAGCAGCTGAGAGTGGTCAATAGAGACAGACCAGTTCTCTTGCAAGGCAAAGCTCCACCACATGTCCCATAACTAATGCTGCTCAAACCATAGAGACTGGACTTGGAAACTCTCTGTCATCTACCATATTTACCAGACCTCGCACCAACTGAATACCACTTCTTCCTGGCTGTGAACCACTTCTTGCAAGGAAAAATATTCAGTTCTCAACAAGCTGTGAAAAATGCCTTTCATGATTTTATTGCCACTTGCTCTCCAGGCTTCTTTGCTGCTGGCATAAACAAGCTACTCTTAAGATGGCAAAACTGTGTTGATAGTTTAGGTGGATACTTTGATTAATTGTACTTCTTTGAGATATAATAAACTATACTTTTCATTTGAAATCAACATTTCATATTTAATGACCTAATATTATATTTCAATATATACTTATGGATTTTAAGTCAGTATTTTCTGTTTATAGTAAAGTAAATGTACTCCTAGGGGCTGCTTGGAAATTTAGGGCTCAGATTGTGGCTAATTTCATTCATTCATGAACTAGTGAATGCCTGTGTTGTTCTAAGGTCCTACAGACACACAGAAATACAAAATAGTCCCTCTTCTCGCCAAGCTTACAATCAAATAGGGAACATTGCCATTCAAGAAGTAATTAATTACAAATATGATGAGTGTTAAGATATACAGGTTTCTTTGAGAGGACATGGGAGATCTGGAAAGGTTTGAGATAATGAATGGAAGAATGGGGGAAGTAGGGGTTAAAGTATTTTTGTGGGGTGTGGGGGGGTAGCTAATATTTATAAATCCTGGCCACTATGTGGAGAATGGTTTGGAGGGGTAAGAATGGAGTTAGAACAGTTAGGAAGCTGGAGGTTCTTGTAGTGAGCTAGATGTGAGATGGTGATCATGTAAAAGATGTAAAAGTTATTTAGGAGGTAGAATTGGCAGTACTCGCAGTTTATTGATAAAGTTTAGGTGTGGGTAAGAGAGATGGAGAACTCAAAGCGGACTCAGATTTCTAAGACTTTTTAAAATGCTAATGCTATTTACCACGCTAGACATTAAAGGAAGAATAGATTTGGGGGAGAGTTTTATATAATTTATATATAATGTATGCTGTCAGGTTTCACTAAATATCTCTTATTCCAAGAATATAAGAAAACTAGAGTTTAAACAAGCAATTACTTCTTCAACCATAATTTCCTTTGAGTTTCTTCAAGGACAGAGTTAAATAAATGAACATTTTACCTTCTATTTTTGTTTCTATAACAATTTTCCAGGCCTACTAAGAGATACTGCTAGTTTACTTCTTATAAAATAGTTTTATGACGATGGTAAAATGTGGTGTTGGTTAAAAGTGACAATAACTTTTAAGGATAACAAGGTAGATAGAGATGTGACCCATATTACATAAGGATTTTAAACTGCAGTTTCTGATTTTTGCATCCTGACCAATTTTGTTGAGTGATAAATTGAGTTATAACTTTTTCCTTTCAGAAGTCATCCAAGGTAGATAACAGTAGAAGAAAACAAAAACAATGTAGTGAAACTGTAAAATGTTACATTAGGAATCAAGGGGCTGGGCACCGTGGTTCAGGTCAGTAATCCTAGTACTTTGGGAGGCCATGGTGGAAGGAGTACAGGAGTTCAAAGACCAGCCTGAGCAAGAGTGAGACCCTGTCTCTACAAAAAATAGAAACATTAGCCAGGCATGGTGATGTGTGTCTATATTCCCAGCTACTTGGGAGGCTGAGGCAATAGGATTGCTTGAGCCCAGGAATTTGAAGTTGTAGTGAGCTATGGTGATGCTACTGTACTCTAGCCATCGTGACAGAATGAGACCCTGTCAAAAAAAGAGAAAAAACATTTGTAATAAAAGTATGGATCCTGCAACTATATAGATCAGAAAAAGAAATAAAAAAAAAAAAAGTATGGAGAATGTTAATTGAAAATATAGAACAATGAATATTGTTATAGTTGTATGAATAATTAACTCATAGCTATGAGACAATTGAGTCTAAGAGTCATGCTAGGTAACAAAATTCATATAATAAATATACTTTAAATTTTATTTTACAATTTTAAAACATTTTATTTTATAATTTTAGAAAATTACAAAAAATATTTTTAAAATATTACTTTTAAAAAATGTGTATTTCTAACATTTTATTCAGCAGTACAAATCTTTCCTGAATCTTGAGGAATTTTTTTAAGAGGATGTTACAATAGAAAATAAAAATGAAACTTTCTCATAATACTTTTTATGTAAAGTTACCTTTTATTTTTATTTAAAAATGAAAGTGGTTCAAAGTCTAATGTATGTGTTTTAACATTATGTATAAGAAAGTTTGGTAGTAAATCACTGATGTTTTGGTAATGTCACTAGTATATCCTAGTACTCACTGTGTAGGATCAGTAATCTGGAATTTGTTTTGTGTTAGTCTTTCAGGAACTTCATAGTCCAAACACATGTTTATTTATAATAATTGAAGTAATTTAAATGTTTTTGAAAAAGTAAATAATGTGTTAATGTAGTCTTCCTACAAAAGGAATTAAAATAATTCAGGCACAAGTAGGGAGAAATTGGAAAGGCTTCATTTTTATTTCTCTACCCTGGAATATCTCTTTTTACCAGTTGAATGTTTATTCTACTTGATTTTTTAGATGTTCAGATTTATATAGGCACCTTTGGAGCTACATAGATAGTTTTATCTTCTATTTTTTTAAAAAAACATTATGGGTTTAGTTTATAGGTGTTATGAAAATTTGCAAATTAAAGTAATGCCTTATTTTGACCAAGAAGGTTTTATCTCCAGAATGAAAGGAGGGGATGTTTCAACATTAGAAAACTCCAGATAATAAGCCACATTACCAAAGAGGAAAAGCTAAGTAATTTCCTCAGTAGATTCAAAAGACATTTGCTAAAATTTAATACCTTCTCTCTTTTTCTCCCTTTAGAAATTGGGGCAAAACATACTTGGTTTATTTTCTGTCCTCTGTTGGAAGTAACTTTATTTTTTCTTTTAACCACAAACTCTGTACAACTTTATTGAAAAATGAAGAAGCAGAGAAAAATCATGTGATTGAACTATTAAGAAATATGCTAGTATATTTCCTCAGAATCACTGCAACTATTTCTACTGAATTTATTACAAATATTTTTGACATACTAAATTTTTTTTCAATGTCTTAAAAGGGCCAGAGTATAGAGGAATTATATTTTGTTTAACCATTTCCTCATGTTAGAATATTTAAGTTATGTTTGAGTTATGTGTATCTTAAGTTATTTCTCCAAGGTGTTCCTTAGGATAGAGTTTAAATTGCTAGGTCAATGGGAAGTTTTTTGATCTATATTGTAAATTTATTGTATTGATCTATATTGTAATATATTGCCTCTCTGCAAAATACTGTAGCAGTGATCTATGAAAGAGTTCATTTACCTATGTGACATGTTGACAGAAAAATAGTTGGGGAAAATTTTATGAATTATTATATGTAAAGCAGCCTAACCTTTCACATTTTATAGATGTTTTAAAAAATTGGTCTTTTCTTTTTTCTTTTCTTTTCTTTTCTTTTTTTTTCCCCACTTCTTAGAAAACCAGACAAACAAAACAATAGATGCTTCTGTTAACAAGAAAGCCGCTGATAGCACATCACAGGTAAGATTTGTTTCCTTCTGCTTCAAAGTAAAATTCTAATTATAGCCCACAGCATGATGGATGTCCTTCATTATTCTTAGATACAGTGAAAATTGTTATATGTCTGTTGTTTTTTTTTTTTTACAACTGTCCAGTTTCTTACAGCCTCTTTGTAATGTTTGACGAGAATTAAGATTTTTTTGCTTAGTAGTTCTGTTAGAGATAATGTTATATTTATTATATTAACTAACTGGTTGGATTATACAATTGACATTCTTGTCATTTCTTCATTTACTATAAAGATTCTCTGCAAAAGGAAAACACATGGAATTTCTTCCAGGTCCAACTTTTTGAGAAGGTCTGACTGGCTTACCTTCACTTACACCGCCCCACCTCTTCTTTACCACTATTTTAGTTTCCTTAAAGGTGATCAGAAATGTCATTTGGGAAGAAGTTTTTTGTTTTTCTGATAGCTTATTAGCACTACGCCAGTCTTGATACTTTTTCATATTAAATATTATCCACCTAGTAATGGAGTAACTACTTTTCCCCTGTATTAACAGTGTTCTTCCTTGTTCTTGCTTTAGGTTTATTAGATTTTTAGCAAAGTCATTAGACTATTGATAGTTTTGTTTTGTTTCCTTCCTCTTATTTTAAGAAACTCATATTATTTCTGGAAAAACAAAAAGTCTTAAGTATATCATACATGATATGGATGTAGATTTTAAAACAAGGGCATAATAATCTTTGATTATAGCTATTTTTCTTCAAAATGATACATTTTTGCTGGGCATTGTGGCTCACACCTGTAATCCCAGTGCTTTGGGAGACTGAGGTGGAAGGACCACTTGAGGTCGGAATTCAGACCAGCCTAGGCAACATAGTGAGGCCCCATCTGTACAAAAAAATATAAAAAATTAGCCGGGTGTAGTGGCACATGCCTGTAGTCCTAGCTATGGGAGACTGAGGTAGGAAAATCACTTGAGCCCCAGGAGTTTGAGCTATGATTGAGCCATTGCACTCTAACCTGGTCAACAGAAGGAGACCCTGACTCTAAAAAATTAAATAAATTAATAAATAAATAAAATTAAAATTGAATTAAAATTTTAGTTGCTCAGTCACAGTAACCCCATTTCAAGTCTCAGTAGCCACATGTGGCTAGTGACTACCATTTTGGACAGCGCAGATATAGAATATTTTCATCATTGCTAAAAGTTCTATTAGACTGTACTGTTAATAGAGCTTTTTAGCTGAAATATAGTGTATGTGATATAAATACATAGGTAAAATTAAAATAAATATAAAAGTTTGCTACACTTTTAAAATTGAAGAAAAATTTTTAAAAATCCCAAATCTGGTTATACCCAACTGCTTATTATATTCTAGGAAATCTAAACCTCATGTAGTACTCTATACTTCACAGCTTTTAGAATCTAAAATATTTTAATTTACACTGTGCTATTATTGATATGAATAAAAAATATAGTAGGAGAGTTTTATTATGGAATAAGAAAGCCTTTTGGAACTGTGCTTTCAGTTATAAATTCATGCTTGTAAGCTTGAATTTTTTGGTACAAATATAATTTTTGTCATTGTGATGAATACCTTCATTAATATTACATTATTGGTTTTTTGAAAATATATTAAGCAATTCTTGTTAGCTTTTTACCCTAATATGCCTCTTATTAACAGGTAGAAACTAGTATGAAAACTACATGTGATTCTTTGAATTGTCACTTTTTAACACATTGACTGCCACAGTAGAAAAAAATTTTCTTTCCTTGGGGCCACAGTGTTTTATTACAAAAATAGAATAAAAACTTTGAAAACAAAACAGTTCTTTCTAATTCAATGAAAAATTTGTTATTTTTTTTATTGTTTTCTATGCATGAGTTATATGCAACTTGAAAAATAGTTCTCGAGGCTCCCAAGGTGAGAAGAAACATGTGATATTACATATGTTTCACAAAGCCCCAGGCTCAAAACTAGCTCGAGTTAAATACAACTCACATGGCAGTGAATGTGTTAAGCACCGTTGGCTAACATCTTTTTTCTTTACCAAGCCTACTTAGTTGTACTTCATAACATTTTTTTAAATTGTTTTTTTCTTTCAATTTTTTATTTTATTTTATTTTATTTTATTTTATTTTATTTTATTTTATTTTATTTTATTTTATTTTATTTTCAGTCACTAGAGAGGTGAAGGAATCATAACATTTTAAGGCTGTTTAGAGTAAAAGAAATCTAGATGTCTAGTGTGGAAATTATTGTTGATTAGACATAGCTAATTAGGAAATAATTACATATGTAAAATATTCTTTTAAATTCTTTGAAGATTTTTCTGTCCCCCAAATAAGTATTTATTAACATATTTGTATAATGAATTATTATATATTTTATTCATATATATCATTTTATATAATGATTGCTAATATATTTTATATAGTGAATGCATTTATTCATTTATTAAAATTATCAGTACATGTTATAAAACAGTACAGAATTCTTTATGTTGTTAGCTGTAGTTATATTGTTGTTTTAAAGGACTGAAGATTACTTGAAGTTTGCTGATTTGCTATAACGACTCATAAATCCCAAGAGTAGCAGGTTATACTCATGGTTGACAGGAAAAAAATATGCAGTGAATAGAGTTGAAAGAAGTCAGGCACAAGCTTCCAAGTCCTCCTTTGTCTGGGATCACACAGGATTTGCTTTTTCTCTGGCTTTATTAACCTCTGGGACATGTGCTAAGAGTCTTTGCCCAGAGAAGCCTGATAGGGACTCAGGGTCTGAAGTTTTCTGGAGGGCTGGTCACATAGCCACATTTTTCTATGTAACTAGTCATGGCATTGGAAACTCCAGACTCCAACAATGAAACCCAAGTATGTAGATAATCTATATTGATATTTGTACAAAGCAATCCTAATGAGCCAATATGGCACAGTCAACTGTTGAAGGTGTATATAAGAAAATTATTAATCATTAATATGATCTTCCAAGGGTCACATTACTGATAATTGACCAAGCCTCAATCATGGTTTCAAGTTTCCTTGGAGAGATGTTCAAGGAGTGAGCAACCAGGTCTTTTGTGTTAATAATTGTTGAAGTACCCTACCCCGACCTTTCAGATATGTTCTTATTTGTTTAATTATCAAACCAAACCAAATAAAACAAAAAACCAAAAAAACCCCAAAAAACTACAAAGCCAGTATCTTTGCTTTCTTGAAATTTTCTTTGTGTTTACTAAATGAGACCGATCATTTTGGCGAATAACACATGTTAAGCTAACTTATTATTTTTTATTTTTTTAAAGCCAGTCAAATTTAGCAGTGGAGGGTTGAATACCAACTTTAGTGATTAACACAAATGTTAATAAGTTCTGATAACCTACTACCATCGGACCAGCCAGCTAACTTATTAATAAAATAAATTTGTAGTGTTAAAAACTGTTTGATACAACTATTATTTTTTTTGATGGTTTAAACTGAAGCCTTTAGTAATAACAGATATAAACATGTCTCTGATTAGGTAAGGTTTCTCAGATACAATGTTTTGTCAGGAAAAAAATGTAAAGATACATGTATTTGTATATGTTTGTTTGTTGATCTCCACCTAGTGGCATAGAAATAATAAGCTCTATAGTCAGACAGTCTGGTGCCTGTCACTTAATAGTGGGTGCTTAGACAAGTTATTTAACACCTTAGATTTTTCACCTATAAAATGGAGCTAATGCTAGTACTTACCTCATAGGATTATTATGAAGATTAAATTTATTAATGAATGCAAATCATTTCGTACAAAGTCTGATAGGAATAGTGCTAGTTATCATGACTATCTTATAAATACAGTTAATAATTATTCAAATAATTACCAATTTTTTTTCTGAAAAATAAAATCTAGGAGACTACCTGTAGTGTGTGATAATATATGAATTGTATCAGTCAGGTTCGATTAATAAAAATCATAATTCATAGCTTAGATTAATGATTGTAGATTTTTCCTTCTTGTTCTGTATAAGCATTTAATGATATAAATTTTCCTCTAAGCACTGCAAGCCACAAATTTTTATACGTTGCATCGTTGCATTTCTTTTCCTTTTTTTTTTTTGAGACAGGGTCTTACTCTGTTACCCAGGCTAGAGTGCTGTGGCGTCAGCCTAGCTCACAGCAACCTTAAACTCCTGGGCTCAAGCAGTCCTCCTGCCCCAGCCTCCCGAGTAGCTGGGACTACAGGCATGTGCCACCATGCCTGGCTAATTTTTTCTATATATTTTTAGTTGGCCAACTAATTTCTTTCTTTTTTAAGTAGAGATGGGGTCTCACTCTTGCTCAGGCTGATCTCGAACTCCTGAACTCAAACAATCCACCACCTCCGGCCTCCCAGAGTGCTAGGATTATAGGGGTGAGCCACTGCTTCCAGCCCTACATTGCATTTTCATATCATTTAGTTTCTTATTATTTCCGTTTGGGTCTTAGATTGTTTAGTGTGTTTAATTTCATAGTAGTTGGGGATTTTGCAAATATCTTTTTTTTTGTTGATTTCTCACTTAATGCTGTTATGTTTAGAAAATATAATATTAGATGTGTATTGTGATATAGTGTATCATTTACACTTCAAAAGAATATGTATTTGTTTCATAGCGTTCAGATAAGTTAGTGTGATTGATAGTGTCTTTTGGATATTCTGTATGTTTACTGTTTATTGGTTTTTATTCTAGTGGTTTTATCTATACTTGTTGAGAGTGATCATTTAGTCTCCAACATGATTGTGAATTTGTCTATTTCCCTAATTTTGTCAGTTTTGTTTCATATGTTTTGATGCTCTATTATGAGGTATATATATTTTTTGTAATTTATCTATTATCTTGATGCTTTTCTGATATAGAGACCCATTCATCATCATAAAGTTTCCCTCTTTGTTTTCTGATATTAACATAATCACAGCAGCATTTTTATGCTTACTATTTGCATGTTATCTCTTTTTTCAACCTTTTAGTGTCAGTCTGTGTCTTTGTATTTAAAGTGAATCTCTAGGTTAAAAAAACATTTTTTTTTGATTCTTGATTATTTCTTGCTGTATTATCCATATGACAATCTCTACAGTTTGATAGTTTTTAATCCATTACAGTTAATATAATTATTAATATAGTTGTGCTTAGATCTATTTTGCTATTTGATTTTTGTTTTTCATCTGTTTTGTTGTTTCTGTGTGCTTTCTTTCCTTTATCTCATGTCAGTTTTTTTAAAGTATTCTATTTTAAATTCCTCTGGCTTTCTACCTACATGTGTTTTCTTTCTTTCTTTTTTTTTTTGAGACAGAGTCTCGCTTTGTTGTCCAGGCTACAGTGAGTGCCATGGCGTCAGCCTAGCTCACAGCGATCCTACTGCCTCAGCCTCCCGAGTAGCTGGGACTACAGGCATGTGCCACGATGCCCGGCTAATTTTTTATATATATATCAGTTGGTCAATTAATTTCTTTCTATTTATAGTAGAGACGGGGTCTCACTCTTGCTCAGGCTGGTTTTGAACTCCTGACCTCGAGCAATCCGCCCGCCTCGGCCTCCCAGAGAGCTAGGATTACAGGCGTGAGCCACCGCGACCGGCTCTTTCTTTTTTCTTTAGGGGTTACTCTGGCAGTTTATAATATGGATCTATCTTAAAATTATATCAGTATACTTAGAATTAATATTGAATTACTTAGTTAAGTTATAGAAACTTTGCAATTTTATATTTACATTTACCCCAGTAATGCTCTTGCTTTACTTGTGTGTCATATTCTTGTTTTCATATATATTGTGGTCTTATTTTCATGTCTGTTATACTCTGTATTGCTTCTATGTATGTTATAAATCTATAAATGCATTGTTTTCAACTGTTGAATTTTAAAACAGAATTTTATAGAATTTTAGAACAGAAAAGATATATAGTCTTGAATATTAATATTTATCCTCATGTTTACCTTGTTTGGTCCTCTTTTGTCCTTCCTGTGAATGTGAATTGGTATTTCCTTTCAAACTAAAGAATTTCCTTGAGGTTTTCTTACAATATAGATTTGCTGTTGATGCCTTCTCTTGGTTTTGTATATCTAAAAATGTACTTTTGTCTCTGTTGCCTTGTTTTCTCAGAGAGAGCTTCATTGGATATAGAATTTACTTTAAAGTTTTGTTTTTTTTTTTTAAATCAGCATTTTGAATATATTGTTCCAGTGTCTTCTTGCTTCCATAATTTCTGATCAATAGTTAGCAATTACTCTTTGGTCCTCTGTAAGATGTAATTTTCTGTGGTTGCTTTCAAAATTTTCTTTTCATTTCAGTAGTTTGACTCTAGTGTGTATAGGAGTGAATTTTTTAGTGTTTGTCCTGCTTGGGTGAGGTTCACTGAACCTCTTGGATTTTTAAATTAATGTTTTCCACCAAATTTGGTAAGTTTTGGTTATTCTTCAAAGTAAAAAAATTTATCTTAGCCCTTTTTATTTTCTCTCATTAAAAGCTTTGCTGAAGCCTTAAATGAACTGCCATTTTGCTGAACTTTTTTATTATTACACAAATTTCTGGTTCTTTTTATATTTCTTCTGTTTTTCTTTCTGTTCTATGGACTGGGAAATTTCTATAGATCTAGCTTGAATTTCACTGAGATTTTTCAGCTCCCTACAATCTGCTTTTGTGCGTACCTTACTAATTTTTATTAATCATTCGTTTCAGCCTTATTTTTTACATTTTTGTTTTTCAGATTCTGCTTCTTTTTTGAAATTTACTATTTGTGCATTCATTAATGTTATATTTTCCTTTAATTCTTTGAACATATTTCTAAAAGGTACTTTGAAATTTTTATCTGCTGAATGCAACATCTGGCTCTGGAGATGTTGGAGTCATTTTCTATTGACTTATCTTTTATCCCTAAGTTGACTTCCACTTTACTGGTCTTTGCATACTTATTTGATAATTTTTTTTAAAAATTTCAAAATTTAGTACATTTTGAAAACTGGACCTTACAGATAATGTGTCATAGTGAGTAGATTCTTTTTATATTCTTTGAAGTTTGTTGAGGACTTTTCAGTTTTGATTTTACAGATTTTATTGTTTGTTTATAAATTTTCTGTGAAATCATTATTATAGAAAGATTTATAAGATTTAGAAATGCATTATCATCTTGGGATTGGGCCAGGATTTTCTAAAATCAAAGATTTATTTTCTTCAATTTTAATAAAATTTGAGTTTTGCCTATGAAAACCTTAATCATTTGGAGTTGATCTCAGTATAAAGTATCAAAGTAAATTGTGATTATTACTTATTAAACAGTTGTCATGTGTCATATGTGGTGTTAAGCACCTTATATACATATTTGGATTAATCCTTATAATATCCTCAATATCCACATTTTGGAAATTGAGAACAGTATGTCTTCACATAAATTCACATAGCTAACAGTTGGAACTATAAAGATGTACTCAATCTTTCTGACTTCAGAATCTTGGCTCGTTAGGTCTGCATTGTCCTTTCTTCTTTTTTTTGTTGTTGTCATGTGGTTTTTAAAAGTTGTTTTTTATCCTAATATTTCTAATGCTTTTAAACAACGGGTTGACTTTGGTCAAATTGGATGTCCAGTAAATAGCATATCATACAATAACTATTAATATTTTTATCATTCCATTTCATACCATACTATTTTTTAGGGGAAAAAAAAGATTTAGATTCTTTTATTCTAATTCTGGCTTTAAACATTGCCTTTGGTGTTTTGGTGGATTAATATTGATACTTCAGAGTGGGATTGATCAACATTTTAAATGTCAGAAAATGAATAATATTTGTGTTTAATCACTTATCACTTAAAGCATCTAATTGCTTTAATAGCTCTGTGCCACACACAGCTTAAATTTTTTTAAAAAACTTCTAGAATTTCCTTTCAGAATTATATTTCATGTGGCAGATGTTTAACTCATGGGTATCCTGGGGTGTTTATCTGATAAACTCCATTTCTTCAGGTAAAGCCATTTAGGTGTCCAGATTGAACTAAGCCACTCATTGTTCTCATTTCACTTTACTATTACTATATTTTTTTGTTATGTGTAATATGTACGAGAGGTTCATTTGCAAAATTCAGAAGTTTTGTTTTTCAGAGTGGAAAACCTGCTGGCAGTGATTCAGGTGGTGTCATTGATCTCACAATGGATGATGAAGAGAGTGCAGCTTCTCAAGGTATTTAAATAGTAATCATACTGAGGAATGCTTTGATACCTTTTTTTTACTCTTAATACAATACAACATTATATGAAGACACATCTTTCCAGCAATATGCTTGATATATTTGTATCCCTTTTAGAATGAAAGTTTTTAGGTTAGAATTAAAAACTAGAAATCAAATCTTGAATGACTATGAACAAGCTATAGAGGAAAACAGTAATTAGAGGAATATTTAATTTGTGGAGCACCTCTGTTTTTATATCTGTTATAGTTAAGGGAACTTAATATTAGACTTAGAGAGAACAAGTCAGAGTCAGTAAAGAGCCTGGGAATCCAGTCCACATTCTCAGACTCTACATTAAATGTTTGTGTGTGTGTATGTTAATGTAGGAACTTGTAAGTGTGTATACATTTAATTTTGGTCATTTGAACTAATTTCTTTTATTTAGAATTATATAAAGGAAAATGAAAGTAATTTTAAAAAGCATGCACATTCAAAATACTCAATACTGAGTTACAGTATTTAGAAGTTATATTAGATAGATATTAAACTATATTCTCAGTTTTCTACAGTGTTAATAGGTGTTTCATGAATAAAAAGTCCCATATTATCATGCTTGGGAAAATGCTGATTTAAAGTTAAATGGCTTTTTTTCTTGAGCACATGTCTCTGAGCCTTTACTATGCTAATTTATAACATAAATCTCCAATAACTATTTAAGATATAAAGTATTTCTCAAACTTATTTGACTGCACAGAATAACTTTGTATACAGACATGTCTGTAAAACTCTGTGGTGATAATTAATGCATATGGAAAATGTAGTTAAGATCAGGAGCTAAGTTAATTATTATTACTTTAAAGACATTAAATTTCTAAAAATCCCAACGATTTAAAAGGTCATATTTTTGAGAATAGATAGTTTTGTTGGGTTTAGGAAAGCAAAGTTAAATTATTACAAAGTTAAATTTATTACAGTTTATTTAAAGTCAGTTTTGTTGTATAAAACTGAAGTAAAACTGGGAGTTTACACCATCCTCTAGCAGGGTTGAACTCATAGCAATATGATTATTTTTAAAAATTTCAAATTATCCATATTACTTTCACTAATTTTTTATAGACAGATTTGACCATCCATTGATCCCTATAGGACAAAATAAATACAGGTTATTTTTTAGAGGACACAAGTAGGGCTGATTCTGGGTCAAAAAGTAAAGTAAGCAAAGTTTGTTTTCAGTGCTCTTGCCATTTCCTTTTTTAGCATCCATGCTTTGTGGAGCCTCTTTCCATTGCCCCACCTTTCGGTCTGTCTCAAGTTGTCCCATTCTAAAGTACATTGTTCTCCAGTAGCACCAAATTAAAGTATCAGTTGCTAAAGCCTTAAATAAAAGCCTAAATTTTATTTATATTTTAGTGAGGAATTCCATAGGATGGAAATCAATGGTGATCATTTTGGATAGAAGGGCTTTTGGCTCACCTTCTTCATAGTGGTTTTCTATTTTTAAGGATTTTATCAGAGATGTACACATTTATTTTATATGCAAACATTTATTTATTTTATAGCAACTATCTGTGTTATCAAACAAAAGAATCTAAACAACAGTAGCGTAATTGAAATTCAAGATCATGGTGAAAGACTTATCAATTTATAGGTATTTTTCTAGAAAAATGTTCTTGACATTATAGGCATATGGATATATAAATATATATGCAAGCAATGAAATTATGCTAATTGATGTGATATATTGAATCCAGAAGTAAGATTCTTTCATAAAAAATAAAACATAAAACTGAATTCCTATAAATGTGAATTAGAATCTGTGATAGAACCAGTAGTGAATTATATATGTTCCTGACCTTATTTTCAAATCAGCAAAAAATGCAAGTAGGTAAAATAGAAAGAAATTGTTCTCTTATAGGTAAATGTGATACCCAGGTAGCAAGCAAAAGTAAAGTTGACCCAAAAAGGAAAGACCTTTATTCTAAAGTTTTTCCTGTCAGTCATAACATCTTGCTTTTAATTAACAGACCCCAAAAAGCTAAACCACACTCCTGTATCAACCATGGGTTCTTCTCAGCCTGTATCACGACCGTTGCAACCCATACAACCAGCACCGCCTCTTCAGCCATCTGGGGTACCAACAAGTGGACCATCTCAGACAACTATACACTTACTACCTACAGGTAAATTTGCTGAATGATTGAGCAGAAGCTTTAGTTTTGCCTAACTATGACTATGGAATTGAGTGGAAAGATAAAGACAGAAAATTAAGAATAATTCTCATTGTTAATTTGAAGACAATGTATGTGTTTTTGAACATGGTATAACTTAGTGTCGCTCACTGTCTTTAAGTAGTAGCACTGGTAGAGAATGGTTATAAAGAAGACTTAACCTATATATATGTTTTTGTCATCTGCCAGCAGATGTCCTGTAAACAGCAGAAATGAATGTAGCTTCTCTAGAAGGGATGAATATCATGATTTGTTCAGAGTATAACCAAGAGCTTATAATCAATCAAACAAATTTTAAATGAGTCTTACCTTGAAATAGTTTTAACTGGCCTAACATGACTGTCAGGAAGTATGCGCTAATATTTTGCTTACTACCTTTCAAGAAGCTGTAAATCAGATGTTTTCAAGGTGTAACCTGCATTTCCTAAATTGTTTAGAAACCAATCAAGACAATTTGTCTTCTGCAAAACAGTCTATTGCTTGGGATTTATCTGCAAAATACTTATATAAGCACTCTTCTCATTAAGGAAAATATTCAGTAAAATGGGATTTTATCCAGTGAAATTTATATTTAAATTACCAGAGTGACTTACAGGAATAAGGAGCAGACCATTTGTTAATTAATCTTTGAATTATGAAATTATTGTTGATACCTTAAATGCCTGATAGCTATGGTAGTTACTGTTTAGATTTGGATTTGAGAATTCTAGATGCTTATCCAGAATTTCCTACCAAGTTAAACTACATTTTACCTTGTTGGCATTGCCAGGCAAAAGAATGTGCTTATATGACTTTATTAAGTTAGGATATGTAAAGACTGAGGAGTCTTTCTTTAGTAAAGAAACCTTTTAATAATCTTTGTTATATCTAATATTTTTCTCCAAATTTATTTTATTGTAAAACCTATTTTTTTCTATATGAAAGTAGATTTATTACTGTTTCATTGCATAATTACTATACTACATGTTTATTTGTAAAATGTGATTCCAGTTCAGAGAGTTGTTATTAGTAAAGTGTTAACTCTTTAAAAAATTTTTGTTATTGTAGTTCTATGCTGTCAGTGAATGTTTAGGACTCATTTTTTGATAATTATCAAAGTAACATTACTCAAGATATTAATGCTCTTTGGAACATACATTAGGAGGAATACTAGAGTGAAGGGGGGGAAGTCTATATTTTAATGGATATTTTACTGTTTTAAATAAAAGATAGGTTATCTGAACAAAATGTGAATTATAATTGCCAGGCAGTTTCTTGAACTGTGGGAATACAATGATACTCTTTTAGATTTATACTCCCTTGGCAGAAGGCCTGGAGGGCCTATAATTCCACTGTGCTAAGAACAATTTAAAATTGAGGAAGGATAAATTGCTGTAAGTCACTCCTGTGGTATCATACTCTCTCCTGCAAACCTCCCTCCCCCCCCCTTTTTTTTTTTTTTTTTCTTATTATCTAGTCAAACTAAAGAGTGGGAAGGGGATTGAATGTGTTAAGTTTGTTCTCTTTTTCTGAGTCTCGGATTTTAATATTACTAATTTTAGCTGGCTCTATCATTTTTATCTTGTAAGATTATAAAAGGAGACTATTAATTTCTATTTCTTTCCTTGTTATAGTTAATTAGATTCTATGCAAAGTAATTACCATTTAATACAGTTTGCTTAATATAGAATTTACTGCATTGTTAATCTCTTTTTCTGCCTTCCATTAGCTCCAACTACCGTGAATGTAACACATCGTCCAGTAACTCAGGTGACCACAAGACTCCCTGTACCAAGAGCTCCTGCAAACCACCAAGTAGTTTATACAACTCTCCCAGCACCACCAGCTCAGGCTCCATTGCGAGGAGCTGTTATGCAGGCTCCTGCTGTTCGGCAGGTCAATCCCCAAAATAGTAAGAGACTTTTCTTGTATATTGCCCCAAGATAAATGTAGCTCTCTCCAGCATTTAGTTGGAGTGGCTTATATTGACATTAGATTTTGCAAAATGTTCTTATATTTATTAAAACTATTAATATAAGTTTGAGATTTATTATACAACATATTGACTGCAGTCTAGTTAATAACAATGTATTATATATTCGCAAATAGCTGATAGAGCAGATTTTAATTGTTGTCACCACAAAAAAAAATATGTGTATGAGGTAATACATATGCTAATTAGCTTCCTTTAGCCATTCTGCAATGTCTGCATACTTCAAAACATAATGTGCATACCATAAATATATATAATTTTTGTCATTTAAAAAAATAATTTTAAAAAGCAATGACAAGAGAACCAAAAAACCCTATTATTAGTTCATTTTTCCTCTTTTAGGAGAGTTAACCAGAGAAAATTGGACATGTATACTACTTGATTTGTGCTATATGTGTTATCTTTCATTTAACTTTAATTATTTATGGTCTGTACTATTACAGTACCCTATTTGATGTTGGTTTATTCTCCACTTTATTAAGAGGCACCCTACCTAATTTAAGAGGGAGTCATCAATTGTGACTTAGCCTAGTGACAGAAATCATGGTAGAGGGAGCCACTAATGAATCTTAAAGATATGGAAAGTGGCTGAGAAATAAAAGAAGAGAAGGTATTAAAGGGAACTTGTGGTTTCATATATATAGATATATATAAAATATGTTAGTTACATATATGTTATGTATGTATGCAACTAATATATATTATAATTATGTTTTAACATATACTATATATATTAGCAATAGTAGACTATATCATATAAACACAAGTTTATATAAAAGGTATACTTAAAGTTTAAGGAAAAATAATAAAATGAACCTTCTATGAACTCTTCACCAGGTTAAGAAATAGAACTGTATCAGTATCCTACAAGTCCTCCTGCAGGCCCTTCCTTAATTGCCTCTCTCTCCCTTTCCATTAGAGGTAATCAACACCCTTTTCTATCAGACATTCTGCTTTTCTTTATCCCTATTTGCTACCAATATAGGGATCACTAATACACACACACACACACACACACACACACACACACACATTACTTAGTTTTGCAAAATTTAATAGCAAGAATAAATCTAACTGTTTAAAGAAATTGTGCCATTATCAGATGATAGTTTCCAGGAGAAAGTAAACTAACAGTCTCTGGATTATAGTCTGGTTTTAACTTTCTTATGTTTACCAAGATCCTTGTCTCAGAAAATTGGTTGACAGGGTCAGGAATGAGTTCTGGGAAACTAGGCTCACCACAGTCAGAGCACCTGGCAGAACTATAGCGTGGGCCAGGTAATGAATATATGGCAAGAAAATATGGTCAAGGCAGTAGGTGACTCTAAATTTTCTGCTTCTTTTGCCCCGGTGTATGTCACAGCAGTTTTCTGTGGGGTGAGATGAGTATCCTTAGCTGATCAGCTGAGCGTGGAGAGAAAGAAAGGAACCTCATTAACACAAATCAAAGATGACTTACTTGAGCTTTCTGTCCTGCTTAAAAAGATAAGACAGCAGGGATCCTTATGAAGATACTTTTAATATGTCTAACCTCTGAATAACAGTATTTCATTTTGACCTATTTGCCTTCTCTGCATGTGGTGCACAACCAGTCAGTGTTCTAGGATTTTTTTTATTCATAGCCTTCCTAGTGGGGATCCATTTATTTCTACCCACGCTGGACCTCCTGTTTCTTGTACCTTATGTTTTCTTCTTTCTGTATTTTCTCTCTGATATTGGTGGCACACATCCTCCAGTGACTACTTGAGAAAGGGTTCATGGAAGTTATATTTATTTTGAGTGCTTGCATACATGAAAATTTCTTTATCCTCATGTTTAAATGATAGTTTGGCTGAATATATATAGACTTCTAGGTTGGGAATAGTTTTCTTTTCATATTTTGAAAACATTGCCTCACTGACTTCAAGTTTTTAATCAGTGTTCCACCAAATTAACAATAAAATTCTGATTTTATTCCTTAATTTTCTTTTGTAGGTGTTACAGTTCGAGTGCCTCAAACAACTACATATGTTGTAAACAATGGACTAACCTTGGGATCAACAGGACCTCAGCTCACAGTGCATCACCGACCACCACAAGTGCATACTGTAAGTGTTCATGCTTGGCTTTACAAAACTCTCAATTGTAAAGCTATCAAATAATATTGTAGTTAACATTTTTCTTTAACATAGTTATATCAAAGGGAAATGATAGGTCTTTCTCATTTTCCAGCAGAAGTTTAAGAAAATTGATCTTAGCATTATGAACAAATGTTGCTAGGGATGAGGATCATTAAGAATTATTCAGTTTGCTTGTGGTATACATGGTACAAAAGCAGGTGCACGGTTGGGACATGTGAAGTGAAATAGACTATTTCTAACTCATGGTTAAATTAAGAAGGGGGCTGGGCACAGTAACTCATGCTTATAATCCTAGCACTCTGGGAGGATAAGGTGGGAGGATCCCTTCAACCAGATGTTCTAGACTAGCCTGAACAATGTAGTGAGACCCCATCTGTACAAATAATACAAATATTAGCTGGCATACTGGCATACCCGTGTCATCCCAGCTGCTCAGGAGGCTGAGGGAGGAGAATTGCTTGAGCCTAGGAATTTGAGGTTGCAGTGAGCTACGATGACACCACTGCACTCTACCTGGGGCAGCAGAGCAAGACTGTGCCTCAAAATAAATACATAAATACATTAATTAAATTGAGACAGGTATTTTCTTTGTTCTAGCTTTTTTTTCCTTCAAACCTGTACCACTTCTAGCTGCTGTGTTGTCATCAATTTATTGTTTTAAGTAATCCAATGCTATTGGGAAATCATTTATTAAGAGATAATAGAGAAAAACAAAGATTTCTCTTTAGATTTAGCCTCCAAAGCAATGTCACATTATCCTGTGACATGATTATGGCAGTATTTGGTGTGAAATATCATGTAAATGGTCATGCTGGCTTTATGAGATAAGTGAGGGGGAGATTGTAAAGCTATCACATATTATTGTAGTTAGCATTTTTCTTTAAAGATGTTATATCAAAATGGTTGTATCAGCTTTATAGCTGATATTACTTTTTACCTAACAAACATCCTTTTTTTTTAAATGCTTGTAATAATTTATTGAGTGCTTCCCACGTACTAAGCACTATTAATATACTTGATCCTCACACAGGAGTCCTTTAGGAGGACTTTGGCTAGACCTTTTTTTTTTTTTTTTTTTTTTTATCTTTTATTACAGATATGGCAACTTATACCCAGAGAAGTTGAGTAACCAACCCAAGATCATACCTCTCAAGAACCCATGCATTCCAGGTCTAGAGATTATGCTCTTAAATACCTATTATTTTTATTGTTCCACTGCAATGAAAAAATTATCATTAATGGAGCACCATGTAATAGGCACTCCACTAAGTTGTTTTCTTTCTTTTTTTTTTTTTTTCTTTTTTAGGCCTTGTTCTAAGTGATCTACTAAGTTATTTACATGTATTATTTTATTTAATCCTCACAACCCTATGAGAATTAGAATTATTATTTTCCTTCTGATAGAAGAGGATACTGTATAAGATGTTAAATTGTTGGTCATTGTCATTACCCAACCTAGTGTCAGAGCTAGAGCCCTTTAAAAACTCAGGTTGCCTGAGCTCAGCACTTCCAGAGTGTTTCCACAGTGCTGCAGATCTGGCCCTATTAGAGTATACGGCAAATATGCCATTACTTTTGTTTGCAACTACAAATAAGTTCTTTCATTCCATATTTCTTCAAAAAATATGTGGCAAAAATCTATTTATAGCATACTTTTGCAAATTTTATAACCCATCAGAGCTTTTTAAATTTTTATTTAAAAAAAACAGCATTCCATGTGTATTGTCTTAGAATATACTGGAGAAATAGTCTTTCTTTTAATGCAACTTTTAATAACTTTTTAAATGAAAAATTTCAAACATACATGAAAGAAAAAATAGTATAAAGATCCCCACATACCCATCACTCATTTTCAACAATTATCAGCACATGGCCAATCTTATTTTGTCTATGTTGCCATTCACCTATTCCCACAACTCATGCAAACACTTGATTATTTTTAAGCACATCCTTGATGTCATATTATTTTATTTGCAGAACTTCAGTAGAATTCTCCACTGCAGTGTTGAAAACAATACAAAGACTTATTTTATTTTGTTTTGTTTTATTTTATTATTTTTTTGAGATAGAGTCTTTCTCTGTCACCCTAGATAAAGTGCAGTGGCGTCATCATAACTCACTGCAACCTCAATCTCCTGGGCTCCCAAGGCGATCCTCTTGCTTCAGCCTCCAAAGTAGCTGGAACTATAGATGTGAGCCACTGCGCCTGGCTAATTTTTTTTTTTTTTTTCCTATTTTTGGTAGAGACGGAGTCTCGTTCTTGCTCAGGCTGGTCTCAAACTCCTGACCTCAAGCAAGCAATCCTCCTGCCTTGGCCCCCAGAGTCTATTACAGGCACCCAGCCTAAAAACTCATTGATTTAACTAGTTTTGTGGTATGAGCAGATCTAGAAACCTAAAATTTTAAGAAATAGAAGGGATATTGCAGGCCATTTAAGCCCTTTTCAAACACCTTAAACTCCTGTGCTCCCTCTAGTCAAAGATCATGGCTTTAGCCATCTTCTCTTAGATCTTACTAGCTTTATGTTTAATTTAATGTTATTTACTTGAGCGATTAACTCCTTTTAGGAAAAAGGATAATTTGAGAGAGGAAATACATGGCCAGTATTCAAATAAATTCTGCTTCTTCAGCTTTCAGTGTTTTATTTGATTAAGTTTTGTTTCTTTTTTCTCTAACTTTATTTCTTTGGCTTTTTAACAGTAGGTTTGCCTTTTTCCAGATATGTATATAAATATTTTCCCACTAGGTATATCCATTTTATCAAAAGATTTACATTCCTTGAAATTATCAGCATATCCTTTTTGCGTTTTTACCACGTGCAAGGCACTGGTTGGTACTAAGCTTTAAAAAAATCATGGAGATTTTGCTGGGTGCAGTGGCTCACACCTGTAATCCTAGCACTCTGGGAGGCCAAGGCTGGAGGATCACTTAATGTCAGGAGTTCAAGAAAGCATGGAGATTTTAAAAGATGTCATCAGATCTTTACAGAATTCACCATATACAAACCACCTACTTAATGAAATACATACGAAAGCATATTTTTGTTAGATGAATTTCAGTTAAGGTGATCTTATTTGCTTTCTAATATAAATTGGTGACCAATGATATGTTCCACTTAAAAGATCACTCATATTTTGAAGAAATTGTTATTCTGTTATCTTAAAACCCAGATATAATGATGATGATGATAATGTTCTAGTGTTTAACAAGTCAGTAGGGCTTCCTAAGATTAGTACCATGCTTTGTCATTATCTGTCTTAGCATCCCTTTCCAAATTATCTTTCACTGTTCTTCCTCATGTGCCCTATGTCCAAGAAAAAGGTAGCATTTGTTCTTGCCCATAAGTCCCTTCACTTTCTTATCTCCATGCCTTTGCTCATGCTTTACCTATTGGCTGAAAGATAAGTAACTATTTCTGCATCTCTAAATCCTATCTTTCACAGTCCAATTTAAATATTAACTTTTTCATGTAGACTGGCCAAGAACATAGTACACATTAAGTGTTAATGTGCTTATTAATAAGAATATGCTACTGTCTTTATATTACAAACAACTTAAAAATGAAAGTATAGCTGTGCATACCAATATCATATGATATTGGCTGCCACACATGATATTGAAAAATGTTACACAATACTAAAATGAGAATCTGTAGCATAGAAAACTAAATCTTAAATTATTTTGTTATAAGTAGATGATTATTTCAATATCTTTCACAATGATGTTCCATCAGCAAGGGCTTTTTATTTTTATTTATTTCACAGTGTATATATATTTATATAATATTATATATTATTCCATGGGATGTGTATGTGTGTGTGTGTATCACATTGTCTTTATCCAGTCATCCATTGATGGACACTTAGGTTGATTCCATATCATTGCTATTGTGAATAGTGCTGCAATAAACATACGAGTGCAAGTACCTTTTTGATATGATTTGTTTTCTTTGGGCAGATACCCTGTAGTAGGATTGCTGGATCAAATGGGAATTCTATTTTTAGTTCTTTGAGAAATCTGTACTGTTTTCCATAAAGGTTTTACTGGTTTACATTCTCACCAACAGTTTATAAGCATTTCCTTTTCTCCACATCCTTGCCAACATCTGTTATTTTTTGTCTTTTTAAGAATAGCTCTTTTGACTGGTGTAAGACAGTATTTCATTGTGGTTTTAATTTGGGTTTTCCTGATGATTACTGATGTTGAGCATTGTTTCATATACTAGTTGGCCATTTGTATATCTTTTAAAAAATGTCTGTTCATGTCTTTAGCCCACTTTTTAATGGGGTTATTTTGTTGTTGTTGAGTTGTTTGAGCTCCTTGTATATTCTGGATATTAGTTCATTGTTGGATGCATAGTTTGCAAATATTTTCTCCCATTCTACAGGATGTCTTTTCACTCTTGTTGATTATTTCTTTTGCTGTGCAGAAGCTTTGTAGTTTAAGTCCCATTTGTCTATTTTTGTTTTTGTTGTGTTTGCTTTTGATGTTTTTTTAGTCATGAATTCTTTGCCTAGGCCAATGTCCAAAAGACTTCTGCTTAGGTTTTCTTCTAGTATTTTTATAGTTGCAGCTTTTACACTCAAGTCTTTAATCCATCTTGAATTAATTTTTGTATCTGGTGAGAGATAGGGGTCCAGTTTCATTCTTCTGCATATAGCAATCCAACTTTCCCACCACCATTTATTGTATAGGGTCTCCTTTCCTCAGTGTATATTCTTTTCACCTTTGTCAGGTCATGTAGCTTTATCATCTGTTCCATTGATCCATGTGTCTATTTTTATACCAATACCATGCTGTTTTGGTTAGTATAGTCTTGAGGTATATAATTTGAAGTCAGGTAATATGATGCCTTCAGCTTTGTTCTTTTCGCTTAGGATTGCTTTGGCTGTTTGGGCTCTTTTTTGTTTCCATGTAATTTTAGGATTGCTCTTTTCTGAATCTGAAAAATGACATCAGTATTTTGATATGAATTGCATTGAATATGTAGATTGCTTTGGGCAGTATGGTCATTTTTAACAACATTGAGTCTTCTGATCCATTGGATGGGATGTTTTTCCATTTGTTTGTGTCATCTACAGTTTCTTTCATCAGTGTTTTGTAGTTTTCCTTGTAGAGATCCTTCACCTCCTTGGTTAAATATATTCCTGGGTGTGTGTGTGTGTGTGTTGGTGGGTTTTTATTATTTTTTTATTTTTATTTTTATTTTTTGTAGCTGTTGTTAACCACTTCCGTACCGCATTCACCGGCCATGAAACCTTGCCCACAGCTGGCACTCATAGTCCGCACGGTAGTTTGTGCTGTGCATTGACGATGAATCTGTTTTGCTCTTGTGTGATGAGGAAAGCTTTAAAGCACTGAAAGCTTGTTTTATGTTACAGGCAGCTTTACTTGTTATGTAAATCAGAATAGGTACATGTACATGTATGTTTTCATTATGTTATTTTTAAATGTTCACAATTTTATTTTGATAAATGAAAAAATAGAAAAGTCATATCATGGCTGTCGGCTAAAGTCGCTGTGCGCATTCATCTGTGGCTATCGACTATAGTCGACGCTGGGACTGAAGTGGTTAATGAGATTGACTTCCTGATTTGGTTCTCAGCTTGATTATTATTGGCATATAGAAATAATACTGATTTTTGTATGTTGATTTTGTATCCTGAAACTTTGCTTAATTCATTTATCAAATACAGGAGTCTTTTGGAGAAATCTTTAGGGCTTTCTAGGTATAAGATTGTATTGTCAGCAAACAGATAATTTGACTTCTTTTTTCCAATTTGGATGCCTTTTATTCCTTTTTTTTGGCTAGGACTTCCAATTCTATATTGAATAGGGGTGGTGAAAATGGGCTTCCTTGTGTTGTTGCAGTTCTTGGGGGAATGCTTTTTAACTTTTATTTGTTCAGTATGATGTTGGCTGTGGGTTTGTCATATATGGCTTTTGTTACTTTGAGGTATATTCCTTCTATGCCTAGTTTATTGAGGGTTTTTTATCATAAAGGGTTGCTGAATTTTATCAAATGCTTTTTCTGCATCTGTTGAGATGATCATATCATTTTTGTTTTTAATTCTGTTGATGTGGTGAATCACATTTATTGATTTGCATATATTGAACCATCCCAAAACTCAATATTTTAGGTCTAGGAATTATAGTAGGAATAAGCTTAATACCATTGTTTGGGGCATATTGGTTACAATTCACCAACTAGAACTTGCCAGTTTGGCTATGATATTTGTTACTTCCTAGAATTCTTTTTTTTTTTTTTTTTTTTTTTTTAGTGACTTGTTTCCTTCACATTCCCAAAATTCTTGCAGTAAAATGATATCTCTCTGTATGATCTCCACGGTCTCTTAGTTCTAGCCTTCTAAAATAGTTCTTTCTTAGATCATTATAAGTCATTGTGACTATTCTTTTTTTAGGAGCCCCCACGCCCTGTGCACCCAGCACCCTTACCAGAAGCCCCACAGCCACAGCGTCTGCCCCCAGAAGCTGCCAACACATCTCTGCCTCAGAAGCCACACTTGAAGTTAGCACGAGTTCAGAGTCAAAATGGCATAGTACTGTCATGGAGTGTCCTGGAGGTGGATCGAAGCTGTGCCACTGTTGATAGCTACCATCTCTATGCTTACCATGAGGAACCCAGTGCCACTGTGCCCTCACAATGGAAAAAGATTGGGGAAGTAAAGGCACTTCCCTTGCCTATGGCATGTACTCTCACCCAGTTTGTATCAGGCAGCAAATACTACTTTGCAGTACGAGCCAAGGATATTTATGGACGTTTTGGACCTTTCTGTGATCCTCAGTCAACAGATGTGATCTCTTCTTCCCAGAGCAGTTAAACCTTGGAGCCTTTACTCTTCCTCTTTTAAAAGTTCCACTTTTGATCTTGTTTTTAATCTTGTGCATGATACCCAATGTAAAATCCACATTGTGCAAGATTTCTTGGACAGATGTGTGTATACACTACATTTGTTTATAACCAGAAGTAAAATAAACTCAGCCCACAAAGCAAGAATCTTTTCCTGGACAATTTAAGCTTAAGGATTTTGAAATGTAAATGTGTATCTTGCTTTAGTTTTGAGGCTGGGGAATATGTGTGGGTGTTTGTGTGTTTTTTCCCTATTTATGTGTTATTGCATTGGAATCTCCCATTTTTATTCTCAAATTTATCTCTTTCAGTATGAAGTAAGTATATCAAAAGATCTGAGATATGTAACTGGCATGATTCTGCTTCTAAGGGATTTATAAGATCATAGTTAAGTAATTTAAACTGAACCTAAACAAAACACAAAGAAATAAATAAAAAGCAAAATGGCTAAATAGTTTAAAATAGGTTAATTTGAACACAGGAAAGGATCTGTTCATCTTTTCTTTTGTCTCTACTCCTGGGTTAAATAGGTGAAAAAAGATCTGCAATGGCCCCTCCCTTTTCTAATCTGGCTTACACTTTTATTATTTTGTGCCTTAAAAATTAACTGCAAAAATAAACATGGCCATATGTTCGTCATTGTTTACTCTTCCCTTTCAGCCTTTCACTCTTTATTTCTCCTTCATCTCTACGATAGCACACCCCCAAATAATTTTTAAACCAAGGCATGCATATATTCATACATACGTATATACATACATATATATATTTTATATATATATATATATATTTATTCTCATCTGTGGCATCACTACATTTAACTCCAGAAATTTGACTTGCTATTTTCTTCTAAAAATATAGATGCTTTTATTTTTGGTCACTATTTAACTCTGTGTAAAGGGGACCAGGAGAAAACCATATTATGTAAGAAAATTTTCCTTCAAACCTGTTTTAGTATCCATGTTGAACACCGTGTTAGAGATTATGAAAGCAATTCTAGTTCATTTTACCTCCCAAATCTATCAATACTAATTCCTTAGTATTCTTTCAAAGAAAGTAAATAATGAAGTTCACAAAATAGAGTGAGCTAAAATATCAAGGGGAAAGTTTCATTTCCTCTCTACTTTCATATCATCCTTCCTGTTTTAACTTTTTAACTTTGTTTTTGATGGTGCCAAGTTAAGTCCGATTTACCCTATGTCAGCTTTGGATAGAATTTAAAGTGTATCCTTTCAGGTCATTTTACATAACAATTAGATATAACCTCCTGTGTATCTCTATTCCTCTTCAAAGTTAATAAAATTCAGCTTAGGTCGTGGATTTTCAATATGAATGCCAGCTATACTGATGTCAGGTGGGTATTTTGAGTATAGATAGTTTAGGACTGGAGGGCTGGGCTCTTTTAGGAATAAGGATGTGGTTGAGAATATTTTGAAAGGAATTCATGAAATTTGTGAAATAACTTTCTCTAGTTATCTTCTCTTATAATATTTGAATTCATATTTTTACCTTCTCAAAATAAATTCGTCATTCATTTTCCTGGAATTGCAGGAGGGAACGATCCCTTTTGTTAATGCTGTTTTGTTTCCAACTTTGATGGCTTGTAATAATAGGAAGTATTCTAGCTGTAAAGAAGCTCTCTTTAGAGACTTTTTCATTGGTCAGTGTACTGTCATCTTAGGTATAAGGTTTGATTGATGATGGAGAAAGCCTACAAATTGCCAAAAAGTAAATGCTCCAAACCTTCCTTTCACTTTCAGAAAATGAGGCCACAGTGAGAATAGAGTTTTCCATGAATCAAATTTTCCAATCAACTATGTCAATATTGCTCATTTTAGGATTAATGATGGTGGTAAAGAAGTTGCCAATGTCACAACAGTGAACATTTTGAAAGGAAGGAATTGATGATCTCAATGTATGTGAACACCTATCTATATCTGCATGTATATATGTTTTTACGTGCAGCGGCTCAATGTTGTTATGTATTCAAGGTCATTCCTGTCTACAGAATTGAAGCCCCATGTTCAAATAATTCTTTATTAGCCATTTTTATGGTCACATGGTAACAATTTGCTTAGGTAGCCTACAAAAGTTTCCCTTGATAAACATCTTTATTTGTATTTACTAAAAAAACTTTAATAGCATTATATAATCAAGTGAGAAAGCCCACTATAATGAAAACATTTCATTGTTTTAGCCTATATTATGTTTTCTGTTAAAGGAAAAAAAATTCTCAAATGGTAACCCTAAAAATAGATTATGATAAAATAAGTACTTAAAATATTTTATTCTAGATGGTGGAAGGAAGGTACAAAGAGACTCTGTAATTATTTAAGGAAAAAGTATATTTATTATAACATGGTCTCCTCAAATTAGCCTGCTTTGGGAGTTAGGGGCAACAGGCTATACTGGATTTACTGAAAGTGTTAGGTTATAACACTAGACTTTTATTTGGGGCAAGTTTCAATGTTGATGAATGCTGACTTTTTATTTGGCTGTTTCCTTAGTGAGAGAGAATGGAAGACTCAACCAGAAATAGCTACTGATAACAGATTCTTTAGTAGCAGTTTACACTCTCTGTGGTTACCTTTTTAAAAATTTAATGGTATCTTTTCACAAAGTATTAAAAATACGCTTGATTATCCCATTTGGGGAATGCACGTTTGCTACATTTTTAGCCTGACAATACTAAGGTATTGCCTTATTGGAAATCCTGGAAACCTCTGATATTTCAGCCTGAAATGTAGAATGTTTATGTGGCATTTAATCGTAATGGTGATGTTTGTTACTTTGCACTTTGTCAGAGTAGTTTTCACCCTGTTTTAAGTGTGAGTAAGCCTCTTTTTAAAATTATGTTCTTGCTGGTAAATTTATAAGTTGCATACAAAGACATCTGTTGTTAACAGTTAACTTTATGAGGTAACTATATCCTTCTATTTCTTTAGACTCACTTTTTAAAATATGCAGAATACTGTGTACTATTTAACACAGTATATAAATTTATGAGAGAAGTGGAGAATTTTCTTCCTAGAAAAGTGAAAATTTATTGAGATACTATTTGCCTCACAGAGAGGTGTTCTTTACTCTCCCCATCCCCATTGCTAGATAATGAATATATCTTGAAAAAAATGACCTAAAATCTTGGGTACATCAGTCTGAAGGACTTCTTAGGCAGACTGCACCTTACAGTTCTCTTACTGCATTGGGTAAGTGTTAACTTAGTTTTTGTTGTTTTGTTTTAAATATTCTCCAAATCATCATTTATGCAGCAAGGTTAGTGTTGTTATTGTATGGTAGCATTTAATTTGTTCCATGAGTTTTCCAGTACTGTACAAGATCAACAAAGTAATGCCTGTGGTATCCTCATTTCTCACTTTTATACACTGTGATCTTAGCACAGTAGGGTACTGCAAAGACCTTCCAAGTGTTCTCCCTGACTTTCCTTCTTGGGCCATTTCAGTATCCTTAGTATCCTATGATTTTTGTTGTATGTTATTTTATCACTGACCTGTGGTTGGCCTGTTTTATTCTAATTTCTGGAAAAAACATGTCCCAGTATTAGAATACTGCAAATAACTCTACCTAAAACCAATGTACGATTCTACCTTCCTTACTATTTACTGGGTAAATGCCTTTTTTCTCTTTTAGTTTTGGGAGGCGCACACACACACACAAATCAGAGCAATTCTCATGAGGAGTTTTTTAGTGTGGCAGACTTATCTAATTCCTGAAACTCATTCATCCCCTTGAGCCAGCCAATGGGGAGGAATACAATAATACAAACACATTTTGTCTTGTCATATTCAAATAATTTTATCATGTTAAAATAAGCTTTCCTTTTTTTATTTGTAGAATCAGCTAAGTACTTGTCATTTATATTTAAATGCTGTCTTTTGGGGGGGGGCAAATAAGGTAACTGGGCAATCAAACACCTTTTGGGGATCCTGGCTTTAGTATTTTATCAGCCATTTCAAATTAAATATAAAAATAAATCCTTTGTAGGAAACTTGCACCCTGATTTTTGTTTATTGCAGTTCAAAGTGTAAATAGTAAGGCGATGTAAGACCTTCCTAATGTCTAATATAAACTGGGCTTTAGCAAGTTGCCCTATTTTTATTAGGTTTTGAAGGTTTTTGTGGGGTTTTTCCTTTCTTTTTTAAATGTACAATAGAGTGGTGTCTGTATAAGTGTTAACTGTAGTGGGGTTTTGTCCAGCAAGCCTGAAATTTATACTTTGAAATAAAACTACTGGATTTTTAACATTCTGAGTACTCTGATTCATTCTGATTATTCACAGCCCTTGTGTTCTTTCTTTTGAGAGTCTCCCACCTTGTTTAGAATCACCCATTATATACTGTACAATATGGCTTCTTTAACTTGCTTGGAAATTCCATGGCACTCAAACCACATGTAACTCTCCAGCTTTTAAAGAAAGTTGCTATTTAGAGTTCTTGCCAGATTGCATGGGTGCATTTAACTAATGGGAGTTAAACAAGTTAGTTAGTTAGTTAGTTAGTTAAACTAGTGAGCTTGACTGTATTGTATCCCTTACCTACACCACGAAAAGACTCAGATGATGAGAGACTCCTTTGAAAACCGCTCCACTGTCTCCTAGGCTTTTGTCATTAAGCATATCCAGCCAGAGGAAGGGGCATGAGCATGGGAAGAGTACAGGTTCTTAGGGCCAAGCCTGGAAGTGGCACTCATCTCAGGAGCCGTAGGCTAGGACTGTCACATGGCACAACTACCTAAGGGACCCTGGGAGATGTGGTCTGCGTGGGCAAGCATAAAAGGAGAATACAGATTTTGGTGAATAAAGAAGCAGTTTCTGCCACATCCTCTTGTTTATTAGCTTGTGTGCTAAAGCCTAGTACTGTTAATTTATCACACACAATGTTTCTTCTACGGTGCTCTACCCTATAGTGAATGCTTGCTGTTAAAATCAGTGGAAAATGAAAGTGACAAATGAATTTACTGTATTTTATTAATTCTGACAGAAAAAACATAGCTAAAATAATGCCTTTGGTATATTATTTGCAGCCTTTAATTCCCTTCTATTCCTTCATCTTCCTCCTTCATTTTATGTCAAGTTTCAAAATTGGTTTCATGGTAATAAAATCAAAGTTGTAAGCCTCTGGCATGCCCTGATGGAGAGTTTTGTTGAAACGGTGCCAGTGAAAAACAGGGAGGCCGCCTTGTACTGTGGGACCGCTAATGGCATAGGCCGTGAACTGAGATGCTAGGTAGATATCCGACACCTGGAAAAACAGGAGGGGGGACATTTTAGAAAATCATTTGGGAAAAAAAACCTCAACTAAATTCATGACTCCCCCCCCCTTTTGTTTCCAAAGTCACAATATTAGCCCCTTTAAAAATTTTTCTTGCAAACCTCCACATGTCTTTACATGGTACACTCTTCTGTATCCATTTGGCATTTAAATGTGAATTGACCAGTAGAAGTGTGTTAAATGAACATTGTAGCCAAAAATGAAATCTTTATTCAGATTACTCAGAATTTTAGCTCCAAAACTTATTTAAAAATCACTTAACCCTTCTGTGACTTAGTTTTCTCATTTGTAGAGTGGGCTTCATAGAGTTGTCATAAGGACTTATGCGAGCAGTGCTCAGAGCAGTGCCTAGAATATATTAAGTCCTCAAGAAAAGTTGTTATTCAATAGGGCAGTAACAAGAGTTTTAAAGTAAACGGAGCTCACTATCAAAAACACTTAACAATTGAGTAGCAGCAGGTCTTAGAGGAGAAAGAAAATCTCTGAGCTTCTGATTTTCCCCATATTCAAAATGACTTCTAAAGAGAGAAATTATATTTTTAAAGTATAGACTTCAACAGAACCTTTTTTGATGAAAAAATAGCAGGCCCCGTCTCCAGGCATGAAACTTGGCAGATGGAAGCCTGAGTTGGGTTCTCCCAGGAAAGGCAGCAGAGGTGATTTTCTTTGTGTATTCTGGGATGGATATAACACTTCACACACTTTACTGAATGTTTGAAAATATGAATACCATTAAAAAAAATACGAAGGCATATGTCAGGGCTTCCTCTGTGCCGGATTCTCTACGGCCACTTTTTTACATCTGCTGTTTAGGTATTAGGCCCATAGAAAATAGTGTGGAGGTGGGGCTGGCATTCCTACCATTCTGAGCTGAAGACAGGGTTCTTCCAGAATTTAAGACAGGCAATGCAAAAGAAAAGACACATGCCCACCCCAAAATTGCAAAAGGATGTGAAAGAATGATTCTTTCCACCAACCAAATGGCTACCTCATACCCTCAGACATCCCAAATCCAGCAGTGTGCAGATACATTTTTAACAACCAGTTCTCTGAAGAAAAAATTTCAAAAGGCCCTGATTTGTGGTATTTGCCAATTTCCATGATGTGAATACTCCCACCATGGCTGATTTCAGGCTGTCAACATGGTATCCACTGACTTTCACAATTAGTTCTCACACACCTACCGGCACCAGCCTCAGCATAATATGTTCTTTGGACATTGGGTCAATCTGGTAAAACTTAAGACAATAATACCACCATCATCATCGTTGTCATGACTGTGTATATTTACAAATAACTAAGTACTACTGTTCTAAACTTTTTACAGATTTAAAGGTTTAGTCTTTACAAAACCCTATGAGGCATGCAGTTATTTCCACTTTACAGATGAGGGGACAGAAACACTACAAAATTACGTGATTTGCTACTAAGTAGCAAAACAGGGACTGGAAGTTAGACAATGGGACCTACTGCCAGAATCTCTGAAAAAGCTGATTGCTGAATCAAGTTTATGGGTAGAGACATCATTGTGCTTAATGCCACAAAATTCTCTGCAGTTTTGCCTTCGAAGAAGCCTATGTGCTGGTGGAAATTAAATCCAAAAGCCAGTAGTATGTTAATTACCTTCGTGTCATAGCAACCTCCGGGACTCGGGCTAGGTGAGTTCAGGTCTTCACGGCAGCAGATGGTATTGCAGGGATCACCCTTACTATAAGGATCCTTCTTATAATCTAGGAAACAAAGAGTGATGGGGAAAAGAATGACCATTGGCTATTCTGAGACACGCTCATCCCCAGTAAGGTTTTCGGACTTGTTAAAGCCCAGATCATCAGAGAGGATACCCCCACCAGCCTCCTCGGCCCAGCCTGCTTCCAGATACGGACGTCTCCTTTGGCTTGTTAGGAAGGAGCAACTGCAAGTCCTCTGCCCCAGCCTGCGCTCGGGAACCTTGCACAGTGAAGGGTGGATGGAAGAGAGATAATAGAAGATAAATGTGCATCAATTTTTTTCCAATAAAAGAAGTTCAAATTTGACTTTCATACTGTTCATCAAAAATATTTATGAATAATTTCTGTTTTATTTGCTGCCTTTATCCTTGGAAGGAAAGGTGTAAGGGAAGGAGGGGCAGGATCCAGCCTAGGTCATTTCTTCTGTGTTTTACATATTTTTTCAATTAAAGAAATCTGTAGACTTTTCTCTGTCATTTTATAAATGAGGCCAAAATTCTACTTGTCAAGTATAAAATATAGAGTTGAATACTGACTACTTAATTCAAGTAACTTCTTATAATTCCTTCTAGTACAGAGATGATAAACTTACATGGATTCTTTATCCATGGGGAAGAAAAGGAGTTTTGAAGAATGATTCTTGAGAAATGTGCTACGTACTGTTGTATCGCATGATATATTTCATGGATGCCATATCAGTCACTTTCCCTTGGTCACGCCGGAAGATTTTGGCTCGTGGAGCTAAATCATAAGAGTAGTCCAAACCCAACTTCTGAACCAACAATGGATAGCCACTCCAGTTGTAGATTGTTTCATGGAAAGGAATGTTGTAGGAGGGCCAGTATCCTGATTTGGAATGGAAGGCAAGAAGGAGGGAGACAGATGAGAGAGGGAACAAGAGAAAGAAATTATGAATGATGGCTTATTTTGAAAATTGGCCCAGGTGTTTAATTACAAAATGATTGCCTAGAAAATAAAGCTTTGAATGTGAACCCTGGCAGCCAAACTGAGCCTTTTCAATTTCCTGAATCGGAATACTTTTAGATGATTTCACTATGGGAAGAAGAGCATTATAATTCTTTGGTTTTTACCCAACATTCTTAAAGCATTCTATAAATCAGAAAATAGCCTAATTTTTTATACAGCAAAATAAAGTATGATGCAAAGTGGTTTGGGGACCTCTCCTAAGTGGACTTGGTTACAGAAATGCCAAAAGATGGTTCACAATGTGGCCCTAAAGGGGAAGATGCCAGATAGTAATCACAGGAGAGTGGAAGAACACAGCGCTGGGAACCAGAAGTCCTAACTTCTAGGCTCAGGCCTGAATAGCTAGGTTTTAGGCAGTTAACCTCATGTTACCCTTTTTGAGGGGGAGTCCATAATGTGAGAGGGTTGAGGAGGATCTTTGCAGTTCTAGCTGGCTTTTAACTGCTTCGCCTCTAAGCTTCACATGTGCCAAGGCCACCCAGCCCACCAGCCACCAAACACCAAGCATGAGAGACAGCTCTAGAACTCTAGCAGCATTCCAGAAATATCCTAGATGACACTGGATGGGGTTATTGCCTATAGGACAGTCAACATATCATGTCTCCAGCATTCAGTGATTTCCCACCTCCATACTCCTGGCCTTCATCTGCCTTTTCTCCCTTTTACTGCTCCTCTGACTCAGGGTTGAGGTTATTGAGGGAAAACAAAAACAAATGGCAAGACATTCTACCTTGCTAGTTTGGGGACACACAGCCAGTATAAGGAAGAATTGAGATAAGAATAGCATTGAAATTATGATGTTAAAAACCGATTCGTTGCTAAAACACACCTAGGTTATAGAGATGTCAAAATTACAAATAAGTGGTTGTGAACCTACACCAGGACTGTTCTGTTTTACAGATGAAGAATGTGAGGCTTGGAGAGATTGGCTAATTTACCTGAGATCTGAAGGAGCTGCGATTTGAATCAAGGCAGTGAAACTCCTGGTTTCCAATGTCTGGGCTCTGTTCTTGCCCTCCAGAACTGCCCCCTCTTCAGTCCTGCCCGTGAACCAACGCTACCCTATTACTGTCACCACCGGGCTGGGAACACCAGACCTTACTACGGCTCTGCCCATCCTGGGTTCTGACGGCTGCTTTGCGTGCCCTGCCTCCCTTCTAGACTACTGAGTTCCTCGAGGACAGGGATTTTGTATCCTTGCTTTCCCGGGCCCTAAGCCGGAGTAGCAGTCCATAAATATTAACTGTATTGAACTTAAAGCTT